TCTCAAGGGCTCACTCTGCTCTAGATGAACCCCTCCTGAGCCTGAAGAAGACAGCAGGCACTTTTAGCAATCCTCTGCTAATAAGAATGCTGACTTTGCCCTACCCACCTCTGAGACATAGAGACAATTAGCCTGATTTTCATTGATTCCCAAGCCAAAGTGTAGATCCATGAGGTGAAGAAGAGCTGCAGTTTAAAGTTTACATAACTCTTACCCATTTTTAACCTATGCCACACTTATTTAACCAACTCCTAATAACAGACAATATGGTAGTTTCCACTTTCTCAGTATTACAAATATTACTGGAATAAATGATGATAGCTAAATCTTTGTGCATAACCATGATTATTTCCTTATGATAAATCCCTAGATGTAGAATTGTTATGTCATAAAGTATGCATGTTTGAGTGCTTTCTTTTTGATTCATGTAATTAAATTTTTATTAAAACATTGTGCCAATTTACCCTCATATAAGAGCACATGATAATCCTTATTTCCTTGCATCCTCACCTTTCCAGGGTAATGTTATGTGTGTGTGCGTGCATTATGCATGCACACATATATGTTTATATATATACATTTAGTCATACACTGCATAATGACATTTCAGTCAGTGATGGACTGCATGTACAATGGTAGTTCCATAAAACTATACTGCCATATTTTTACTGAACTTTTCTCTCTTTAGATATGTTTAGGTACACAAATACTTACTATTGTGTTGTAACTCTTGATGGTATTTAATACAATAACATGCTGTATGAGTTTACAACCCAGGAGCAATAGGCTATACCATACAGTCTAGGTGTGTAGTAGGCTATACCATCTAGGTTTGTATAAATATTATATGATGTCCTCTGAAGGACAAAATTGCCTAACAAACACATTTCTTGGAATGTATCCCTGTCATTAAGTGATACATGACTGTATATACATATATATGTACATTTGAATGTATTTATTCAATTATCAATTAAAAAATTTGTCACTTTAGACTAGAAAACATTAGTATGTATAAATACATATATATTACATATATTGAAAAATAAATCTTTCACTTAGACCAGAAAACATTTATATGTACATATGTACATATTATATATATTTAAAAGTAAATCTTTCACTTTAGACCCAAATATATAGATGTATATATAAAAATGGGTATATATATTTATACATGCATCTAAAGTGAAAGATTTATTTTTTAATTAATAAATTGAACAATACAAACAGTATACAGTATAAATACAGCAATTAATATAAACATCACACTCCAGGGTATTATGTTTTTGAAATATTTTGATAGACAAATGTATTCTTTCATTACTTTTAAGATTTCTTTTGCTGGGTGTGGTGGCTGATGCTTGTAAAGCACTTTGGGAGGCCATACATGAGTGGATCGCTTGAGCCCAGGGGTTTGAGACAAGCTGGGTAATAGTGAGACCCCATTTCTACAAAAAATGCAAAAATTAGCTGTACATGATGGTGCACACCTGTAGTTCCAGCTACTTGGGAGGCTGAGGTGGAGGATCACCTGACCTTGCGGAGGTCAAGGTTGCAGTGAACTATATGATCACACCACTGCACTCCAGCCGGGGTGACAGAGTAAGACCCTGTCTAAAAACATAATGTCTTTTATTATAATGAGGTTGGATATATTTGTGCATTTATTTTCTGGTTATATTTCTTTTTTTCTGATTTGCCTGTATATATCCTATCAATTTTCCTATTGCTTAGTTTACCTTTTGCTTATGAATTTATTAGATTTATATATTTATTTTAAATGTATTAAGACTTTGTTGCATATGTTGCAACCTTTATTTTCCCCCTCTGGCTTGACATTTGCCTTTCAGATTTGTTTATGTGGCATTCCTCATTTGAAGAATAAAGCAGAACCAAATGTATTGGTTTGAAGATTGAGATGAAATGGGAGGGCCACAAAAAAGTGATTTCTCTTTGAGCATTGTGTAGATACACATGTAACCTGATACTACACAAAAAGTAAAAGCTCATGGACTGTCAGTGATGTGGTGGGATATGCCAGAGGGAAGTGATTTGTGGACTCACTGGAGAGAGACTTCTACTAGAAGTAAGTGCTAAACAGATAGTGCAGAAAATATCCAGAGAAAGATATACAAGAGAAGGAGGGAAAGGTAGGGGTATCTATGCAAAAGGAAATAAGGTATGTTTCCTCTGGTGAAATTAGAGAGTCTTTATTAATGTATGAATTGTCAATTTCTAATTGCATGAGTTAAGCTTGTAGCTCTAGAGGCCAGCAAATACTTATTTGTTCTGTGAGCTCAGAAAACCAGAGGATCCCCAGAAAATCTCAGTGTGAGCATCAAAAACTAATGTGGCATCACCCAGAATTTAGGAAAATATTTCTTTAAAATGCAGTGATTGTAAGTCTGTGAAATATTCACAAGATAGAAGTTTGGAAGTGGAGAAGGGAAGTGGTATTTTCAGGTTCATAAACAAACTTTGGAATAAATGTTTGCCTAATTAAGCTTATTAGTAAAACTATAGGGAAAGAATGCCTGGTCTGTCTTTTCAGATGTCTCCATATTGCTGTGAGAACAAACTGCTGATCCAACAATGTTCCATGAAATTACTCAGAAAAGTCATGAAAGAATGGACTGACATAAACACTATGTTCGTGTAAACTATGTGTCAGCAACTACCAGTTGTGCTAATCTATCTTGCCAGTAATTTTCTCATAAGTTGGCATGAAACACAGAAGGTCTCAACAAATAACTGAAAGAAAATGAAACAGAAGGAAAACGAGAATATCTCAGCCTGCCTTACTCATATTTAAAGCAATGTAGAATTCTTGTACTCATAAATGATGCTGAGTTTAGCTTGAAAAACTCAAGAGTAGGTTCCTTTTCCATACTTAGCTCCTTTATTCTTTGACATGAAAACTTATTCCACCTGACAGTATAATTTTCCTTGTTCTGGTACAAAGCCATCTTTTTGTGCTCTATAATGTGTTGATTATCTTGTCAGCAATTAATGGCCTTTCTATTTCTACTTTGCTCTCAGCTGCTCTGCTTTAATAATGCTGGGACATTAATATCCTGAAGCAGTTCTCTTCCAGTGTTCCCAGACATCATGAAATGTGATAGGAAATTCACCTTCTCTCGTGAATCTTGTCTACACATTGGTTTTCTGCTTCCTTAATCTCTTTATAGCAGGGTGTCTTGCTGTTAAATAGCCAACTATTTATAAATCTCTACAGAAACTTTCTAGACTTGCTCTTCTATTTGAGTGAACTTCTAGGGCTGCCTTTAAAACTTCAGAACCCTAGGTATTTTACATGTAGTCATATTTTCATTCTGTAAGGGCACAGTTAAAAAGATTTTAAAAGTGGAAATTTGAATCAAAGACTTAAATTTCAACTTTTTTTTCCTAAAAGGGAAAAATTTTTGTAAGAGAAAATGAAGGAATAGAGAAAATTACCAGCAAGGGCTGTGTTGCACAATATTAAAACACAGTTTCTGCTATTAAGATGCCAAAAATATAACAGGAAGTAGAAGAGACCTAGAGGTCATTTTGAAACATGTCGTTGTTTCATATAAAGGTGACATGACATTCTGATTTACATAGTAAATGCTAGAGTCAGGCCAACTCTTTATATTCCTGAACTAGAGCTCCTTCATTACACAAATACCATTCAAACAAGTAAAACCCAAAATCAATGACTTATAAAAGATTCAAAGAGGAAGAAGCATTTGAGGTGGTCATTGAGAGAAGCATAGGACTTCCTTGGGTATGTATAATGATTTCTGCAACAAGATCAATGTGATATACTTTGCGGTTGATAAATGCTGAGGGAGCATTGGAGGAGGAAGGCAGAGGGCAGAAGACAAGGATTTGAGGAATGAGAAGCCACACTGGAGTGAAGACAATAATTGAAGATACATCTTTCCAGAAGTTTGGAGGCCGAGGAATGGTAGGGATTGGCAGCTTAAATGGGTACTGAGATGAAAGGAAGGTTTATTGTTCATTTGTGTCAAATGCAGGAGACTAACATATATTGGCAGTATGCAAAGGACTAATGGAGATTGAAGATTTACGAGAGAGGGAATAATTTATGAAATAAGTTCCCAGAGGAGGCAGGAAGGTGAGATCAAATTCCTAGATGGGCAGGTTGGTTTTGATGAAGAGCAAGGATAATACTTTCTTTGTCAGATTGATCAGGAGATGAAGAGAGGCAGGTGAAGATTCAGAGAGGAACAGAACCGAAGGAGCTTGTGTTGGATGCCTTTATCCTTTGGGAGATGAACCCATGAGATCACATCCTAAGAATGAGGCAGGGAGGGTCAAGTTGGAAATTTGTGAGTGAAAATAGATCTGAACATCTGGGATGGGGGATGAGGAAAAGTCAACGAGAGATGAGATGCATAAAAGGCTTTCCCAGCAGAATGGAGGGGACAGTGGAGATTAGTCTTATTTTCTCCAGCTGTGCTGAGAAGACTGGGGTAAAGATGAAAGCTACCCTGGGTTTCCAGGCATTAGGAAGACCAAGGTGGAGAAGCCAGGAAGACCTGCAGGTGGGGAGGGTATGACATGGAAGCAACTGCATCATTGACCATGATCACAGAATGGAGGCTGGATAAGCTGTGTTGTGGGGCAGGGAAAGGATCAGGGGATTTGCATGGGGGCTGGTAAAACTTGATTTAAGTTCTTGGAAATAGGTAAAGGCACAATGTAAGAATGGGAAGCTGTTTCAAAGGGAAAAGTCACAGCTCTTGGTTTTAGTAAATACCATCATAAAAAGTTCCAAAAGAGGCCAAGCATGGTGGCTCGTGCCTGTAATCCCAGCACTTTGGGAGGCTGAGGTGGGAGGACAGCTTGAGGTCAGGAGTTTGAGACCAGCCTGAGCTACTTAGTGAGACCCTATCTCTGCAAAAAATGAAAAATAAATTAGCTGGGTCTGTACCTAAGCTACTTGGGAAGCTGAGGTGGGAGGACTGCTTGAGCCCAGGAGGTGGAGGCTGCAGTGAACCATGATCGTGCCACTGCACTCCAATCTGAGCAACAGACATGCTCCAACCTGAGCAATAGAGACATTGTCTGGAAAAAAAAAAAAAAAATATATATATACACACACACACACACACACACACACACACTCCAAATCAGACTCAGCATATACATGTCCATAAATGTGCTAATATTCACTCTAGCCAGGTAGTCCTGGTTTTAAGTATTCACACTAAAATCCCTTGTAGGCCAAATTGCTCAGGTGCTATGCTATAAGAGATTACAGTTTATCTTATCCAAAGGCAGAAACATTTAATCTTCCTTTTTCCTTTGATGGAATTATGTTCTTCCTTACCATCAACACCTATTCATTCATAGTACAGTTTTCTGTCTTAACTATTATTGGGTTACTAACAGGAGAACCCACTCTGTTCCAGAAATTGCATTGACATTAGGAATTAAGAAAAAAAAACCATGGAGCCATATTCTCCAGAAGCTTACATCTAAGGAGATAGGTAAGTAGACAATTTCAACATAATGCATTAAGTGCTATGAGAGTAGTATGATAGTGATAGGTGCTATACAAGACAAAGGTTCTAGGTTAATTGCTTTGATAAAACTGCCACCCTTTAACAAGGTTAAACTGGATTCTTTAATGTAGACCTTATTGAGAGTTTCTAATATGTTACTGTGCTTTGTGAATCTTCGTGTGTGGAGTAGAGATCCAGTCTGCCAAGTTCTGCAAACTCATCTGACAACAGAACTCTTTTTCAATGAAATATCTCAAGGGATTTGTGCTCCATGGGACAGAAGATGAGAAGGGCTGACACAAGATTCTCACCTAGTGAAAAAAAAGTATGTATTTATATTTTTAAAAACTGGTTGGATGGGGGCTTTCTCTCAAATACGTAAATGACTTTTGAAGTTTTTTTTTTTTAGTCCTATGGCAGAGTAAAGATACAGACTTAAAAGGATTTACCATGAAGATTTTAATGACTGCTGGGCTGATTATTAAGCCTGATCCCAGTGAAATGGAATACCTTTAGTCATTTTCATTTTTGGACTGTTTAACAATTTTTCTCCAAAAGAAATGTTTAATGAATACAATATCACGTTCCTCTCAGTGCTTCTAATTAACAGACCACTGAAAGATCTTTGTTAAAGGAAAGGCTAGCTTCAGGCCAGAAGGCATTGCAGGATCTAATATGTATGCTACCATGGGTGACCAAGTGTAAAGATAAACTAAGGATTTGAATATATAAGGGCTAATGTTTGCGTCCATTGTTATGGAATTTCTGATGATCACTCTCTAGTCTTTCCTAATATTTGGCCTTTAGGAAAAGTGTTTTGGACTGAATTGTTCTCTCTCTTCATTACCCTCCTTAATGTGTGAAAGTCTCACCTGCTCTCTATTTCATAAAGAGGAAAAGCAGATCCAGAGGACTATTTCATGATTCATCCTTTTTCAAAATGTTTCTTAAAACATTAAATAAAGTTTTATTATTGTAAGCTGTTTATAATTGTATAAAAGCAGCCATTTCTTTAAGAAAGTCTCATCTTGTTAAAATAAAGGTTTAACTCTGACCTGATTTTTAGTTTAAAGAAGTTCACAGCAAAAATCAGGGTATAGAATTATCCACGTATTAAAGAGATGTTGTCTATAAAACCTTATGAGGATCAGGACTAAGAAAAAAGCATTCATTAGTCTTTCTCTCTCTGCTCAGCTAGATTTAATAAATGATATGTGTGGGTACTGTGCTAAAAACTTTATATGATGCATTGTCTTTGGTCTTTACCATATAGTATGGATATATGGGTATACTCCTGGTATACCCATTTTACACATGAAAGAAAAGTAAGGCTCAGAAAGGTTACATAACTAGCTCAAACTGTAATGCCGTAAGTGCCAGTGAACCCACAGCCAAGTGTCTTATGCATTATGCTACATTTTCCTCTAACCCACAGCTTTCCTTTGTCTATGTTAAAGCACCTTGAATTTTGACCCCTCCTAGGAGCCAAAGTTATTTCTAAACTAAAACACCAGGAGGTTAAAAATAAAGTCTAAATTTTTTTCAGGAATCCTGAGAGTTAGGGCTGGACTTCCCTTCTCACCTGATCCTATACTTTTGATGTTAGCCAGGCAAGGGCTAGGAGGCTTTTTACACTAGGCTTAGTGTAAAAAGCATCAATTCTAGAGTCAAAAAGACCTGGATCTGCTTCTCAGTTTAGCCACTTAATAGCTGTGTAATGTTGAACAATGTCCTTAATTTTCTGCCTGAGCGTTCCTCATCTGTTAAATGGTGCTGGACTGCTTTCCTTCCTAGGGAGCTGCGGCATCAAAGGAAGTGCTGGAGAGTGCTCAACAACAGCCTGTTGTTGGCAGCTGTGATAATATCACACAGAATCTGTCTAAAAGGCTACTTTGCTAGAATGGTCTAAGGGAAACTCTTAGCATTGCTTCATCCCTATAGTTTGTGCTAAAGATTAAACTACCCAGGGAAGATAGCAAGGGGTTATTAATATATCAGCCCATTGTCCTTAAAACAGGTTGGATAAATGCAAATAGGAGAAAGCAAGGTAAAGCAACATCCAGAGTGGAAGGCCATCAGAAAGGCACAGGGGAGGCAGAAGGCAGCCATCAAGAGTGAGGGAAATAAGAGGAGAAAAGCTGAATGGCTGGACTTCTTTACAGTTCTGCATGAGCTGCTGCTCACTCACCTCCGCTCTGGTCCCGTGTGACAACTCACTGAGAGGTGGAAATAATGTTCATGAAAATAGGTCCTGTCTTTGATTTGGGCCCTGAAGAATCACATCTGACGCGCTTTAGAAATGGGTTCAGAGGTCACAAAGCATAGGCAGGCGACACATGTGTGCCAGGCTCTTAGTTTAGGCATTCATTTCTACTAGATCATCTGGGAGACCTTGAGCTAGACTGCATTCTAAAATGTCAAGGACATTGAAAAGAAATACTTTACTTCCCTCACAGGAGTATTGTGAGAATTAAATAACAAAAGGTACCTACACCCCAAGGCAAGCTTGAGGAACCTCATTTTCTCCAGGTGCACAAGAACAGGCCTTCCCCAAGATTGGAGAGAGATCTTGGCCACCCAAAGATACCCTGCACTAAAAGGCAGGCTTCAGAGTTGACTAGACCATGATTCAGACCCCAGCTCTGCCACTTCCCAACCTTAGAAAGTCTACTCATTCATTCTTTTATTCATTCATTGACCACATAGGTACCAAACAAAATGTATTGAACAGAATTTTACTCATGACCTACTTTGCACCAGGGCACAGTGCTAGATGCTGTGGATACAGAGATGAACAAGACCGACAAGGTCCCTGTCCTCATGAATGCTATATCTTCACAGGAAAAGAGATGAACAATGAACAAGTAACAAACAAATGAGATAATTTCAGGTTGGGATAAATGTTATACACAAAATAAACTGGGCAAACTAATGAGGAGTAATCTGGGTATGAAGAAAGTGGTTATAAACTGCGCGGCGGTCAGGAATGTTCCTTTCTGAGAGGAAGCACTTGACCTGGGATAGAAGCGTGGGAGCCAGCTTGATATGGGAATGGCTGGGGAAGGAGGTACCCCCTGTGCAGAGCACTGGCCCTGGGCCAGGAAAGGCCTTGGGACTCAAGGAACAGAGAGAAGGCCCACGTGACTATGTGGACTCTGGGACTCTGATTGTGGCAGAATGAAAGCAGATGAAGCCAGCAAAGTGGGGAGTGATCCAACTGTGCAGGACCTCAAAAACCACAGTATGGGATGAAGTTTTACTCGGAAGGCCATAGAACAGTTACACACAGGGGAGGGCCAAGATTTGATTTCCATTTCAAAGAAATGATTCTGGCTGCTGCATCTCTCTCTCTGGAGTATAGAGAGAGTAAGGTGGAAGAGAAGATCCAGCTACAAAGATATTGAAGTCGTTTAAGAAATGATGGCAGCTTAGACTGGGGTGGTGGCTGGAGAGAGAGAAGTGGACATGTTTGAGATGAATTTTAGGGGTGTCACTGAAGGGTTTCGTCTGGAATTTGGGGAAGAGTGGCAATGAAACAGGAGGAATCAAACTATTTAAATTTCCTGAAACTTCAGTTTCTTCCCCTAAATTTGATGTTATTGTAGCGTATTAAGGACTAAACAAGAGAGCATGTGCTGCCCAGCACAAAGTAGGTACTTGATAAACGGCCAGCTTGTCCCTTGTTCTGACCCAGGTTGAACTCTGAACCTTCTAGAAGTTCCAGCAAGTTCATTTCAGGACTCAGTCATTAGAAATTCCAACTATTAAAAAATGTATGCTAAGCTCAATAGGTTCAGAAAAATCTCTTAAACTGTCATCAGTTTGGAAGTAAAGTCGGTACTGAGTTATTAAACCATCCAGAACAGCCAATATGAAGCTTCCAGACAGACTGTAACAGCTGGCAAGTGTTGGCCGTATGCTTATTTGGATGCTCTGTGACTTAAAACTCCTTTCTCAATGGCAAGAATTTTTGGAGAAACATGTACTCTCTGTGGACAGAAACCACATGTAGAAAACAATAGCTTAGGTTTGAGTGTCATAACTCTGGAAAACTCTTGATCTCTGAAGCTTTGACAGGGGTGAGTCACTCACAGTGAAAAAGCTACCTAGGGGGAGGAAGACCATTCATCTAACTCTGTTCCTACCCAGCTGTATGGTCACAGGAACATCTCCCAGCACTTCAGGGAGGGGGACCTGGGCAGGGACACTACACAGACATATCCTTGCACAGGCATTGGCTACCACAGAATCTTCTGGGCTACCATGCCTGGTTTCAGTGCAACTCAGCTGCATATGAGCCTGAAACACACGGTCTTTCTTATTGCTCTCTTCTTTTCTGCTTTTATTGTAGTTATTCAGAGCAATAGTTCTCTATGTTGGATGTTACAATACCCTGGTGCACTTTATAAAATACTGATTCCGAGGCCCCACACCAAAAGATTCTGACCTAATCAGTATAGTAGATGCACCACTCAACTGATCCTTCAGGAATGAAGAGCTTATTTTCTCAGTTGCTGAAAGTGTAGCCAGTGGACAGCATTCGACTTGTTAGTCATCTGTGGAAAGTTGCCGGGCATTTCAAGGCAATACCCTCTTCCTGAGGTAGCCAGCATCCAATGACCAATCAATATGGAACTGTAAAGACAACATTGCTCAACCCAGGACAACTCTGAAAGGCCATACCAGTTTCAGAGCTCCCTGTAGGTCAGCTGAAGCCTTCCTGGAGAACGCACTGCAGCCTGACAGCTTCTCCTGCCTGATCGCCTGATCCTGCTTCCTTTCCTTCCCTTCCTTCAGTGGTGATCCCAAGAGCAAACCTCATAAACTTCCCGCAAATAAGTCTCCATCTCAGGGTCTGCTTTCCTTGGTTTGGGGTAATACTTGGACATCAGCATTATAAAGCTCCAGAGGTGATTTTTTTTTTTTTTTTTTTGAGATGGAGTCTCGCTCTGTCACCCAGACTGGAGTACAAATCTTGGCTCACTGAAACCTCTGTCTACCTCCTGGGCTCAAGCAATTCTCCTGCCTCCGCCTCCCGAGTAGCTGGGACTACAGGCATGCACCACCATGCCCGGTTAATTTTTAAAATATTTTTAAGTAGAGATGGGGTTTTATCATGTTGGCTACACTGGTCTCCAACTCCTGACCTCAGGTAATCCACCTGTCTCTGCCTCCGGAAGTGCTGGGATTACAGGTGTGAGCCACCATACCTGGCCCTCCCCAGGTGATTTTAATGAAGGTGAATAATCCCTGCTCAAAAGTCAGAATGTGACAATCAGTCAACAGACAATTAGTGAGCACCAACTGAGTGCCAAGTACATTGCTAGGTTTTTGGTCCCAGATGGAAAATTGAGAGAAATTAAGAAAACTGACTCTGATTGCAAAGCTAGCAAGTGGCAGACTTGGGGTTTAAAACTAGAGAGATTGCTGTGTCTATTCTCCTAATCACTATGTTATGCTGTCTCCACGATGACGGAAGGGAAGCATAGGATGCCAGGGAACCCTAACCTTGCCATGCTGTATAGGCGCGGAGAGTGGGGTCAAAGAAGGATTCTTTGAGGAAGTGAGGTTTAAGCTGAGATCTAAATAAGAAGAATGTAGGCAGAGGCAACAGGGAATGCAATAATATAAGGTAGGAGAGAGCAGAGTGTGTCTCAGGAACTGATTGCTCAGTGTGATTACAATGGAAAATGCAAGACGTAAACCTGGGGAGGTGGCTGATGCTAGAGCATGCCTTTTCTCTAAGAGCAAAAGGAAGCCAAAGGGTCCCTGCAGGGGAGGGTTGCAGCTTGATAACTCTACTGCTGGACAGAGACAGATTGCAGGGGAGCAAGAATGAATGGCAGGTGGGGATGGTTTTTAATTTCAATTGTCAGATTCAATTTAAAGACCAATGGTTCTCATCCAAGGATAGGATGACACCTCTAGGACCATTTGGAAATGTGTGGAAATAATTTTGGTTTTTGCAGTAATCACAGATGCTAAACATCCAGGAAGGTGAGAAATGTTCTCACCACAAAGGCACAACTGTCCTCTTCAAAATGCCAAGGGGGCCCTCATAGGGAAATTATGCCATAAGCAAAGCACAGAAGACATAACTGTAGAAATATAAATGTTCTAAGCCATAACAATGTGAAAGTTCAGTAACTGTATATCTGGGAGAATTTGGGAAGTCAAGGGGGTAAGAGAGGTGAAGGGAAATGCGGGGTCGGGGAGATTTATTCATTTTAACATGGTGGGGTGTCAAAAGACACTGTCTAAAGGTTATGGATCCAAAAATAGATGGTTTAGTATATTAAAGTTGTAAAGGGAACCAAGAAAAAATGTTCAAAATAAAAACTAAACTAAAAATTTTGAGGAAGAGAGAGAAAAGCACAAGGAATAGAAGGAATAGTGTAAGTTCCTTCTCTTTCATAGTAGGGAGTCAGCCAACACAGTTAAGGTTAATGAATCAAGAAATGGAGGTGGAAATATATTTAGAGTTACAGAGGAAGCCATCAGTGAATCAGGAAGAAAAACCATCAGAAAAACAAGAGGTGGAAGTGAATTTTAAATATTTATTTATTTATTTATTTTGAGATGGAATCTTGCTTTGTTACCCAGGCTGGAGCATAGTAGCACGATCTTGGCTCACTGCAACCTTCACCTCCAGGATTCAAGCGATTCTTGTGCCTCAGCCTACTGAGAAGCTGGGACTACAAGTGTGTACCACCCAACCTGGCTAATTTTTGTATTTTTAGTGGAGATGGGGTTTCACCATGTTGGCCAGGCTTGTCTCGAACTCCTGACCACAGGTGATATGCCTGCCTTGGCTTTCTGAAGTGCTGTGATTACAGGTGTGAGCCACCACACCCAGCCAAATGAAGCAGTTAGTCTTACTGTTTGTTTATTTTGAGATGGAGTCTTGCTCTGTTGCCCAGGCTGGAGTGCAGTGGCATGATCTTGGCTCACTGCAACCTCCGCCTCCTGGGTTCAAGCAATTCGCCTGTCTCAGCCTAATGAGTAGCTGGGATTACAGGCACATGCCACCATGCCTGGCTAATTTTTGTAATTTTTTTAGTAGAGATGGGGTTTCGCGGTGTTGGCCAGGCTGGTCTCGAACTCCTGACCTCAGGTGATCCACTCGCCTCAGCCTCCCAGAGTGTTGTGTGAGCCACTACACCTGGCTGGAAGTAGAATTTTGAGTTCAGCAGTAGGGACTAGTGAGGGAAACTCTGACTTCTCATTTTATCCCTTGTCTTAAATATATTTTTGTATGTTTATTTCAACCTGTATATGATATATAAGTAAGTGAACTTCAGTTTCCTGCCTTACCCAATGCATGCTTCTATGGTGGATATCAAATGGTTCTTTTACTCTCTGAGAAGCTATTTCTGTGTAACAGGGACCTGCCAAGAACTAAGGGCCACTTTGAGACAGGTAGCCAGAGTTTTCTAGTGTTGAACTGTACTGTCTCCTCATCTGCACTGGGGCTGAATCCATAACTCGTTCTTTCTGAGTGCTGTAAGAACTTCTCTGCCCCCACTGGGTCTACATCCATTTTTCCCTAAGTGGTTGTGGGGAACTGTGCAGTTGCTGGGCGGCTTGGTAGCTGGCCTCCAGAAAAGAAAAGGGCAAATTCCCAGGGGCACCGTTATCTGCTAGGAGGTGTGCACCAATTCAGGTATAAGCGGAGACTCACTGTAAAGGAATGGGCAGATTCCTAAACAACCCATGTTTGTTAATAGAGGATAAAGTGGGGTGGGGTGAGATGAGTGGAGTGATGAGCAGGAGTTAGAATCCAGCATGGCCTGAATTTTAACCATCTAAACAGTGGCTCAGCTGGGTCTCTATTTGCCATTATTTTTTACAGCAACTGGTAAAACTACTCCTCTGTCTTTTTATGTAGCCCTTCCATGGGCTTTACATGACATTGCATGGTAGTTAGTTGCTTATGTATCTTAATCTTCTACCATCTGTGATCTCTTCTTCCTCAAGGGTAGGATCTGAGCCTCATTTTTATATTCCTTGTACTGAGCATGTACCTAATAAACACTGGGTGAGTAAAGAAAATGAATAAGTATATAAATAAATAAATAAAGCCAAATGAATAAATAAAATGCTTATTATATCCTCCTTTAAAAAAATCAGCATAATAGGACATAGAGTGTAACAAAGATTCCATTACTTTTGGTGCACCCCTGATTGTGGGACTCTGGTATTTGCTTGTGTGTGTGTACGTGTGTGTGTACATGCGTGTGTGTGTGTGTATTACTATACTTGCAAGAGTTAAATAATTGGTAATGGGAACTCAAGTTAGGCCTTTGGGATCCCTAAGAGGTGCAGAGAAACTTGGATTTCTCCAGGACTAATAAATCGAAGAGGAAAGTTCAATAATGCTGCTGCAAGAGTCCATCTATAAGATGACATTTATAGGAAGAAAGGCTCATTCAAAAATTATTTGATATTGTCTAGGCAATGAGCTTAAAGAGCAAGAGTCTAAGCTAAGGGTAGAAACATGGTACTAGAAACACCTGTTTGCTTCCTCTCTCATCCAGGGAGCTGAGCATTATATCTCAATTTAGTTAGGTGATCAAAGACTGATAGAATTACGCAAGGAACACTTACAACACTATCTACTTAATTTGCATACAAATAAAAAGAAGCCGTTTCTGTAAGATTGTGGTAAAACGCAGATGCTTCTACTCTGCTAGAGGTATTAGAAATTAGTTTAACTCTTTTAGAAATCAGTAAGTCAAGGAGACTGCCGTGCCATTCCTGCCTAGCAATGGAAAATAGTTTTTCTTCTTTCCTAGCAATGGAAACAAAAGACTTTCAGAGGTCTTTGATTAACCATGGTAAAGATTTAATGATGTCCTGGCGGGTTTTGTAATGGACTAAAAGTAACCAGGCAACATTGTGATAGGAGTGGTGTACTAGATTTCTTTAGCAGGAAGTTATAGATGGACACAGCTATGATTCTATCCAGATGGTTGTAACTAAGAGAAGTTCAGGCTATGAATGTCTGTGCAAGTTCTACTGTTTCCCCAAGTTTGCAGCTTCCCCAGGGGAGCCTGCACTTTGGGTAACTCCTGAATTTGAATATGATAGTCTGATTCATTCATTCATTCATTCATTCATTCCTTCCTTCCTTCATTCAACAATGTTTATTGAGCTACCACTCTGTGAGTTATCTGTTTGAAGGACAGCACTTTCTTATTTTTCTTTGGGACCCTTTCTTACACAGACAGGATACTCAAGAGATATTTGCCGACTGACTGACACAGGTTGAAACAAAATGGATTTTTCCCACACTGGTTTCATTCTGAGTTGCAGTTGACAGAATTTATTGCATCTGTAAAACTTCTTTAAGTTTATGAGTTGCTAAGCTTGAGAGATTACAGCTTTCTTTTCCATTCCCCTTGCAATAAAGATCTCTTTTTATATTCTCATTTCTATCAAAATCAGATGCTGACAGTTACCTTATGTAAATTCTCTCTGGCTAGGGTGGTGTTGGTTCTATATTTTTTAATGAGCTTTCTCATCCTGTGTTCAGCTAGAGCCTTAGGTTGTTAACCTTAAAGCCTCAATGCAGAACCAGGCTCACTGATTTCACCTTTTCAAAATACTAGCATTCCCACTAGTGTGTGTATGTGCATTTGAGAGAGGGAGGGAAAGAGAAAGAGAGAGACAGAATTATGACTAAAGTTTCAAACTAAAGTTCAGCTGTTGAACTTGGACTATTCATGTACTCCCAGTCTTTGGATTAGTCTCAGGGAATTTAAGAGATAAACAAAAAGCAAACTCTAGGTGGCTGTGATTCAGAGACCCAGAAAACAGAAAATAACTGAAGGATTAATCTGTATATGGCTGGGAGTAGGGTGTGAGGGTGAGGCCGTAGGCCTGAACAAAAGGAAAATAATATCTCACCAGTTGACAGTAGCTAGATGGATATTCACAAACTAGTCCAGCAACTGAACATGGACACAGGACAAATTGGCTCTACTGTACCTTGGTAGGCATGGGCTTCTTAAAGGTGATTTCAGCTTGCATCCAAACACCCCTTGGGGACTCCAACACAGACCAGATCTTCTCTTGAACCACATGGTTCTCTTCAAAGATGTAAACGGCTAGGGTGTCACTCATTTTTAAAAATCCATAGATGGCATAATGAAAACGCAGACAATACTGCAGGTTTCCTGGTAGGGAGGGCCCATAGAGCCTTCCAATGTAGCCAGGCTGAGATGTGAACTTCGTGTTGGCTAGCAGGTAATACCCTGCAAACAAGATAAAGCATATCAGCAATGCAAAATAATCCAATCTAGATTAGCAAGTGGTAAAATGTGATTAAAGTAGTAGAACTAGACAGCAAAGACTACCAGCTATGCTTTAAATGATAGAAAGCATTTTCTAATGTCTGTGGCTTAAGTGACAGAAAACATCCATGCGCCTCATTGAAATGAAACCTCATTTAATTCTAAGTAAACCTTATAAACCAGTACAGATTTTCTATAGCACATGCCCAGATTTCAGTCATTAATTAGGATTTACACTTTTCACAAAACAAAAAGGATGAAATCATCTTGGAGATACCAGCTGCTTGGGTCAACCATCTGACTTAGATTGTATATTCCGAGGACTGAACCATAGTGAATAGAAGGTCCAGAGCAGATTTTTTTCTTATTATCTCTTTAGTGACCTATAGAGATGGCAGGATTTCAGACTGGCCTGGCAGTCTTTGTGGAAGTTTGTGTCTGGGCAGAGTCTACTCCTCTCTTGGTCAAATGTTAAAACTGCCCTTGAAGAGCAGGTTTTTCATCAGATGGATCCTCCCAGGTGCTGAAGATCTGTGTTCTTCCTTTATTCCTTCTAAATAACAAAGAAAAATAAAATCAGGAACCTCCCCCTCCCACCATCCCCATGGTCAATTTAAAATGAGTTCCCATATCCTGGAAAGCCTGGGCAGAAAAGAAACAAAAACAAAACCCACCTTCTTTTTCTCTTTCTTTTTTCTGCTCCTCGTCCTGTCAGTTTTCTTTTGGGTGCCTCAGTCTTTGTATACCGTTTAGTTTTACCCAGTTATTTAACTCAAAAGAAGAGAAAGACATGCCAGAGCTCGCTCTCCCTCCCTACACCAAGAGGCCATGTGAGGACACATGATAAGGTGTCCATCTGCAAGCTAGGAAGAGACCCCTCACCAGAAACCACCCTGATGGCACCTTGATTTTGAACTCACAGCCTCCAGAACTGTGAGGAAATAATGTCTGTCGTTTAAGCCACCCAATCTGTGGTATTTTGTTATGGCTGCCTGAGCAGACTATTATGGGTGGCCGTACAACAGCCAGAACAACCTTTTTGAAACCTAAGTTTCATCTGTGTTTTTTCTGCTTAAAACCTCTCAGTGGCTTCTCATGTCCTCTATAATAAAATTCCAAATGCTTCCTGTGGCCTGCCACACCCAGGATCTAGCTCCCTCTCTGACATCATTTTCCTCCATTCTTCTCCTCACCATTCCTCCCCACGGTACAGCCATACAGACATTCCTATTCTGTGGTGTGACCAGCTCTTTCCAAATTCGAGGCCTTCACAGATGTTGTTCCCTCTGCCTGGGTCACGCCCACTATCCCAGCTAACAGCAGCTTTCCTCAGAGAAACTTTCCCTGAATGCTGAACCAAAATTAGATTCTTCCCTCTATTCTCTCTCAGAGCTCTCTCTTCATTTCTTTCTACTGTGAAAGAAGGGGATCAGAACATGCCACCCCAAACTATGTCACTTTGGCATTTTGATTATTTTGAGGTAAAGTCACTTGAGAAACAGCAGAGGCAGGAAGGACCCTTTGACCTCCCCTTTTCTATTATACTTAAAAGCAGGTCATAAAATTTTCTACGAACAAGGTGCTCTCCCTGTCCCAGAAAGGGAAGAACATTCTGTCACTAAAGACTGGGAGTTGACACCAAAATGGATCTGTACAGACAAACTTACTAACATAACCCTCATCTTCCATTAGTTTCCTTCATATATTTCCTAGTCACTTTCCCACAATTTACTGCCCCTGGAAACTTAAGCCCTCAACCCCCCTTTCTTTTTTGTCCTGCTACTTCTCCACAATTTTATTATCCTTTGTTTAAAATGGTATTGAAGCTCTCAGGCCTATCTGCTTCTTTGGGTCTTCATTGTTTTTATGAAGGCTCCCAAGTACAATTAAAAATATTAAATAAAATTTGTGGTTTTTTTCTTGCTAATCTGTCTTACATCGCTTTAATTCTCAGGTCCAAACATGGAACTTAAGAGGGTAGAGGAAAAGTTTTTCCTCCCTGACAGCAGCACTTGCCACAACCTGTGATTATAAGTTTGTTTGTGTATGTATTTGTCTAATGTTTCTCTTGCCCACTGAAAAGATTGTCTGCCAGTGAAGATGGGATTCACTTCAGACTTGTTCACTATTGTATTCCCCAGGAGTTAGTCCACTTGAATGTTTTATTACTTTGAAAATTGACAAACTGAGAGTATGGTGAGTCTTTTTGTCCCAAACAGGTCCCCGTTTCATCAGTTCACTGCTCCCAGAACTCAAATGGTTCTCTAGAGATGATTTTCCAGTTAATCAGCCCAAGGTCAGAATAGAGTCGGTAGGGCCTTTATTTCTACAGGTTGGGCAACCTCTAAGAAAAGAATACAAAATTACAAGCACGAAATTGTGAGGGCTCTTTCAAGGCCTTTCTCAGGGCTGGTACAAGGCAGGGGCCCTGGAACCTAAGCTTCACCAGCTCCGTGGTAAACTCACCTCAGTCTCCAGTATATAAATATGTGTTGAATAAGTGAATGAGACACTGAACTCCTTGAGATCAAGCTCTTCGCACTTGTCTACACTGGGTTGGGCTCCACAAAGGCTATCATTAAATTAAATAGGTAATCCCTACACAAGGAGCACTCAGACTCCTGTTTCCAAAAGCTCCTTTTAAGTATATCCATCAAGTGTCCACTCAACATTTTTTAATAGCTTTTCCCCTCCACAATAGATTTTTTAAATTATAGTAAAATATACATGGTATAAAAGTTACCATTTAACCATTTGAAAGTGCACAGTTCAGTGGCATTTTGAGCATTCACAATGCTGTGCAACCATCACCACTATGTAGTTCCAGATCATTTTCATCACCCAAAGGCAACCCCATATTCATTAAACACTCTTATTCCCTCTGCCACGGCCCCTGGCAACCACTGAAATCTTTTTATCTGTGAGAATATGTCTCTTCTGGAGATTTCATATAAATACAATTCAACAGATTTTTTTCCTTAAAGGTATTGCATCTAAAGTGAGTTCCTAAATATTTTACAAGGATTTGCCTGTTTAATTAACTAGCAAATAGGTCTGCTGACACAGCAACTTGAATTTCAATTTTAAAAAATTGTCAAACACAAGATTACTGATTGTCTTTGCTTCTTCACAGTTGCCTTTTTTCTTTAAGTCAATGTCTTTGCAGGTATGACGTAGGAATGGCCAATAAAGCTTACGACTACCCAAGATGTACCCACATAGACAGATGCCTGATTTACCTAAGCCTGTAGTGTGGTCTCCAGCCCGATACATGTTTGGTTTTACTTTCACTCGGGTCCAACCTGGACCTTCTTTATCTTGGTAAAAGTTGCAGAGATCTTGCTCAAAATTGCAGCTGGCTTCCACGGCACTGAACAGAAGTTCTGAGCAAAGGACAAACAAAGTTAATGACAATCAGTCCCAAAGATCTCAAAGGACTACATCAACTGGTTGACAGATATTTATATATACACATTTGTACCAGGGGAGACCGAAGAAGTAAAACACAACTAAATATCTTTACCCAAAGGGCTTGCTGACAGGTTAGCATCAAACCAGCGTTTCAACATGACAGGAAAATTGTTCTTTTCCTTTCTAAAGGGAGGGGAGAAAGGAGCACTGTTCACATTATAAAAATGAAGTACCCGATTTCAAAAGAAATTTCCTTTCATGACTGTGAACATTTATTCATATACTTCTTCACAATTCACAATTCATTCATAAAAGTTTTAAAATAAAAAACGGGAAAAGGAAGATATTTTATGGGACTCAATTTGTTTCTAAGATGAAGATTTTAGATATTTTACAGAAATAATTTTCCTTTGTTGCTCAATCTCTGTATCAGAAGCACAGCTGCCGTCTACTTTGCCATCAGTAGTAGGAGCTGATCTGCTTGAAGAAAGTCATCACTCAGTTTAAATCGTGCAGGTCAAAGAGTCACAGATCTGTCATGGGTACTGCTATTGCTTTGACTTCACCGAGTTCTGGTATTATTTACCCTGTTCTATAAATACCTCACCCCAGATAGCCTGGAGGGAACATAAAAGATTTCTGCTCTTTAAGAAGACATACAAATGGCCAACAGGTATATAAAAAAGTGTTCAACATCACTAATCAGCAGAGAAATGCAAATTAAAACTACAACAAGATATCTTAGAATGGCTATTAATAAAAAGACAAAAATTAACAGATGTTGGTGAGGAGGTGGAGAAAAGGGAACTCTTACACAGTGTTAGTGAGAATGTAAACTAGTACAGCCACTACGGAAAACAGTGTGGAGGTTTCTCAAAAAAATGAAAATAGAACTACCATTCGATCCAGCAATCCCATTACTGGGTATCTACTCAAAGTAAAAGAAATCAATATACCAAAAAGATATTGCACTTGTATGTTTATCTCAGCACTATTAACAGTACCAAAGATAAGGAATCAACCTAAGTGCCCATCAACGGATGACTGAATAAAGAATCATATGTACATACAAACTGGAATACTATTCATCCATAAAAACAATGAAATTATGTCTTTTGCAGCAACATGGTTGTATTGGAGGTCATTATCTTAAGCAAAACAAGTCAGACACAGAAACACAAATACTGCATGCTCTCACTCATAAGTGGGAGCTAAGTAATATGTACACACTGATACAGAGTGGAATGATAGACAGTGGAGACTTAGAAGGGTGAGGGAGTAGGAGGGGGTATGGAAGATAAGAAATTGCTTAATGGGTACAATGTATGTTACTCCAGGATGGATACCTTAAAATCCTCACTTAACACTATGCAATCTATGCCTGTAACAAAACTGTACTTGCACCACATACATTTATACAAATAAAATACTTTTGCTTTTTTGAGAATAACTTTTAATCCTATCAACAAGTGGCTTGTAAATCACGCTGTTCAGATTGCCCTCTTAGAACAGAGGGGATGTGACTGTAGCAGTTGGGATACACTGGGTGCAGCCAAGTGTGATTCTTCTCTGCATGCTGACACACATGTCTAACAATCCAGAATTATGGAGAGAGGACATGTGTTGAATAACTGGAAAATTATCTCTAGTAAACATTTGAGCTCTAGGAGCAGTGAGCCGATGAAACAGCTCACTATAAACACTTACTGTATTCTCAATTTGTCAGTTTCTAAAGCAAGAAAGCATTCAGGTGGGCTGAAGAACTGACCCAGATTAAAGTGGATGAAAGACACATGACAACCAAATGCTACCAGGGATGCAAGATTCAATCTTGGTCCAGAAGAACAAATAGCTGTAAAGGTTGTTATTGGGGCAATTGGAAACATTGGTGTATGGACTGAAAGTAAGTTGATAATGTTGTATCAGTATTAAATTTCCTGAACTCCATAATTATCCCATAGTTATGCTGAAGAACGTGTTTGATTATAAAATACACACTAAAATATTTAATGGTAAAGGGGCATGATGTTTGCAACCTATTCTTAAATGGTAGATAAAGCAAACATGGCAAAATGTTAATTTGTAGAGCTGGGTGAAGAGTATATAGGAGTTCTTTGTAGTTTTCCTGCAAATTATGTCCAAGTTTGAAATGATAGAAGATTAAAGAGCTCCAAGAAAATTAAATTTTAAAAAGTAACTGATTAACAACACATTACAAAAAAAAAATTAGGTAAAAAGTGTTCCTATATAACTAGAACCTGATTGTATCTCAGGGGATATGCCATAGGAAGTGCACCAGGAGCAAATCCAGATGAGCCAGACTGGAGAAGAGGAAATGAAGAGAATTCTCAATGCTCTAAGATGGGTAGATTAGCCCACACCCTGGTCTGCCTAATTCTGTCAGCACCAGGGTATATCTTTAAGCCCTGAAGATAAAGTCTGTGAAAAATGAACAAGATGTTACACAAACAAGGATCCTTTGACATTCTCCCATGGATATTTGAGACCACAGGAAACCCCATTAAAGTATTCAGTATTAGTCACCCCTCTGCTACTGGGTAATAAAAAAACAAATAAAAGTCCCAAATCTACAGATGGCCATCTAACTCAGGAAATGGGGTGGCACTGCCAAGTGCCATGCACGAAGAGAAGAGTAGGTCAGTTCCTCATCAGGAATGAATCTTCCCCCTCACAGTCTCCTTTTTTTCTTCATTCTTTCTCCCAGCTAGAGAGGCTAGAAGAAGGAATGAATCTTAAAGCAGTGCTCTTGGGCAACTGCAAGAGAATCTTAACTCAGTTATTGGATGTGTGGGAGGGGGTGGAAGGTGGCATAAAAACGTGAAAGTTTACAGAAGTTTTATTCATAAGCACCAAAACTTGAAAGCAACCAAGTTATGTCCTTCAGTAGGTGAGTGGATATATAAACTGTGGTACATCCAGACAACTAAATATCACTCAGCGCGTAGAAGAAATGAGCTATCAAGCCATGAAATGATACAGAGTAAACTTAAATACATATTACAAAGTGAAGGAAGCCAATCTGAAAAGGCTACATACTCTATGATTCCAACTATATGACATTCTTGAACAGGCAAAACTATGGGGACAGTAAAAAGAACAGTAACTGCCACAGGTTGGGGGGAAGGAGAGGTGAATAGGCAAAACAGAGTTTTGTTTGTTTTTTGTTTTTGAGACAGGGTCCCACTTTGTGGCCCAGGCTGGAGTACAGTGGTGCAATCTTGGCTCACTGTAGCCTCTACCTCCTGAGTTCAACCTATCCTCCTTCTTTAGCCTCCTAAGAAGTTGAGACCATAGGCATGTACCACCATGCCTGGCTAATTTTTGTATTTTTTTGTAGAGACAGGGTTTCACCATGTTGCCCAGGCTGGTCTCCAACTCCTGGGCTCAAGCAATCCACCCTCCTTTGCCTCCCAAAGTGCTGGGATTACAGGTGTGCACCAGCATGCCTGGCCTGAATATAGAGGGCGTTTTTAAGGCAATGAAAATATTCTGTATGATACTACAATGGTGGATACATATCATTATACATTTGTCTAAATACATAGAGTATACAATACCATGAGTGAACCTTAATGTAAACTGTGGACTCTGGGGGACAGTAATGTATATGAAGACAAGGGGACTATGAGAGACCTCTGTACCTTCCTCTCAATTTTGCTGTGAACCTAAAACAACACTAAAAAAAAATGCCTATCAAAAAAACTTAAAAGTAAGCAAGGATCACTTCTCTCCATGGTGATAGACTGAGTCATACAGAAAATATTTTTCTGATGATATGATTATAATATTTTGCTAATGAATAGATTTGAAATGGATTTTCCTGGGGTCTTGAGGAGGTCTGATAAAAAAAAAAAAGAAAATCTCAAAAGCCTAACTCAAGGGCTAAATCTTTTTCACCTAGAGTGCTGCTTCTGCCGTGAGACAGTGTCTGATTCCTGAGGATGGGGCCAGAGGCCTGTTTGTGACCTGAATGGGTGCAGAGCCTTTGCTTCAAGCTTGTTTCAGAGGTGTTAGTAAAGGGCGGATCACAAATTGAGCTGCTGGGAAGTGTAATGATGTATTTGAAGCATAGGGAGGAATCAGAGGCAGTGGAAGCCTCTGAGCATCTGTTGGTGATCAAGAAAAAAAGAACTAAAGCCCCTTTAAGCAACTTACCAAAAAGCATCATAGTGTAAGCTTTAATTACTTGCTTTCTGACATTTGAACTTTTTAGAAATGAGAAGCTTTGAAGATAATCCAATTAGCAGGAATGTGTTGCAGTTTGAGAGTAGTTGGGAACATTTCTCATCCTTTCCTCTGCTCCATGGAGTTCATGGAAAGAAACTCAGCATCAACCCCACAGATCTAAAAGGCTCATCAGCCCCTAGAGTGCTAAAAGATAGATACTGAGGGCATTGTGTTTTCTACACTGCCAACCTTGCAGGGTAGTTTTACTTCAGCATGTGCCCGCCCAAGAGCAGGCTGAGACAGCTCAAAGCTGGCTTGGGTAGGAGAGGCAGTGGGACCTGGCACCACACTGAAGACCTATGGGGAAACAAGGGCCAGGCTCACTGACTAGGCTGTGGAGACCCTTGGGGGCATTTAAGATAAGAAAGGCTGGGGCAGCCTTAGCTGTAGCCTAGGCAGCAATTGGGCCTGGGTTTCCAAATAGACAAGAGATCGGGGCAGTGTGTTGTCAGTGAATGGCTGATATTGGGGTTTAGGTATTGATTCTCTGAGAGGCGTACCCATGAGTGTTAGGATCTACCCAGTCCCTGGCATATGGCAGAGCAGTAGAGCTCTCAGTTTGAGGCTGGGCCTTACGGCAGGATTCCTAGAAGTGAATGGGATCACCTCTTAGGCATTCAAAGATTTACAGACCAAAAGGAAGGCTTGCTCCCATCTTCTAAAATTTGGGACAAATGTGGTTGTGGAGGGGGAGAGTGAGGGGGCAAAGGGATGGAGAGGAAGTGGGGGGTGGTCTCACTGTTCTCTGGAAGCACTGGGGAGGGGGGAAGTTCATTGGAGGGCCACATGACATTGCTGTTGAGCACCTGTGACTATGAGATGGGTCTCAGGTCCAGGAGATTGGATTAACTCTAAACCCAACCAGATGGTGGGAACAAGATGATTCGTATGTTGAAATGATTCCTGTCTCAGCCTATTAGGGAGATGAGGGAAGAAAATGCTAGATCCAGCTGGGAAAAGCAGAGACAAGAAGTCTGGAGTTAACCAAGATAAGGAAAAAATGTTGGCACCTGTTATGAAACAGAAGGGCATAAACTATTTGTGTAATGTAAGATGAAGTATGAAAACTGAAAGGCTTAGCTTCTAAAGACTCAATCTGGCCCACAGCTGCTCAATGAAAGACATAAAGCAGGCTCCAGCTGACACAATCATCAAGCAAGTACCCTTTGCTGGTTCTCTTTAGTTGCAATCTGACCCACTGTTCTCCAGGGATGGGTGGGCATATTTTGAAAATAAAGTAAATAGTATTGTCTCATGATGAAGCATTTGCTGTGTATCATACTCTGTGCTAAGGCCTTCACAGACATTAACTCATTAACCTTCCCAACAACTCTGTGAAACAGATTCTTCCATCTTTACTATAGATGTGGAAATAGAGTCTCAAGTTAAATAACGTGACCTATGCCACATAGCTTGGAAGTAGCAGAATAGGGATGTGAATCCACATTCCTGGTGGATTAAGCATAACACTACGATGATGCAATTAAACCATTTAAAGCCAAACTGGCTTAGTGGGAAGTTCTGAAGATGAGTATGGAGCCTTGGTTAACCTAACTGTATAAGAACTCATATATGTGGAAGTTCCTGCACAGAAGGAGTCTGTACTTTGCAGACTGAGGGGTCAACAGCCCTCTTAACACATGGTCTTTGTTTTGCTGGATGCTTTCTTTTCCTTTCACCAGACAGACCACCTGTGTAGTAGGAAAGAGCTCACACAAATTCTCTTTTTTTTCAAAAGGAGGAGCATTTCTGAACATTACTTCTGGGTGATTCAGTTGGTTCTGTTACCTCCAGCTGCCTCTTCACCCACTCTCTGCCCAGTGCAGATATTAGATAAACACCTCTTCTCCCATAGACAAAACAAGGCAATATAAATTTCAGTGTCACTGCCTAGTGATAGAAAAAAGACCTTGTCTAAAAATAATGATAAAGAGGTTGTGAAATTACTATGAATGTAATTGAAATATTAACTGATAGGATTAGAGAGGAATCAAATGTAGAGAAGTAAAACAATGTTGGTTTCTGTGTTATATCAAATTTAGAGACTATTTTAATCTTTGATTATTGTTTGGATTAAATCATTAAAAAGTATGTAAATCTAGTCTGGTTCTATCTGTTTTATAACCTTTTAAAAATTAGAATTAGGAAAACCAGTAGTCAATTTCAGCAGATTAGATTTCTGTTTAGTTTTGGGGTAACAGTTTAGCTCAAGTCGAAAATATTTTTCCATGTAAACTGTGGCTCACACCTGTAATGCCAGCACTTTGGGAGGCCAAGGTGGGAGAATCCCTTGAGCTCAGGAGTTCAAGACCAGCCTGGACAACATAGTGAGAGCTCATCTCTACTAAAATAAACAAGCAAAAAACTAGCCAGTCCCAGCTGCTCATGAGGCTGAGACAGGAAGATCACTTGAGCCCAGGAGTTTGAGGCTGTAGTGAGTTGTGACTGCACCACTGCAGTCTAGCCTGAGTGACAGAGCGAGACCCCCGGTTCCCCTTCCCCTCCCCCCCAAAAAATTTCTTAGTCCCCTGACTTGTAGAATGTGTCTGAAATCATATTAAATTATGAACCAACTCTATCTTAAGTGAAAGACCCCAAACGCCAAGTTCATAAATTACTTTCCGTGCTACATAACCAAGAATAAGGGCTCATTAATAAGGCGGGGTGACTATAATGTCTCCCTTGGTCTCTCAAGGAAACAAATTCACTAAACAGTAAGGTCAATTTTATATATCTGGGTTATCATTATTATTATCCTTCTTATTATAAAACATTTGCTTTCTAATTCACTTTGAATCAATTTGCTTACCTATTTTTCTAGAGAGTAAAAATAACTCTCTCATTTTAAACATCAAATTTATGAAATTGCAAAACTGATCATGATAAAATAATTTGAGGGTTCATCTTGGAAGTGGAAAGTAGTTTAATTAAGAGCACATGCTATTTAGCTAAAACTGTCCAGAGATGTCTACCAAATACTAACATCTTTAAACATAAGGACATTTATAAATTTTGGATACATACTGTTGGAAAGCATTTTTAAAATATATTGTTCTATTCAGTAGATTGTGAGAGCTTTTTCCATCTACCCAGCCACCCATTTATGGTCCCAAGATATCCTCTAAAGAGAAAGATGGAGTGAGAATAAGTTAGTATTATTTAATTTTCTTTTCCTGGGAAGGAAAGATAAAAGCTTCCTAAGATAGGACAACTGGCTGATGGTGTCAGAAACGTTAGATTCCCTCTGTGAGGGGGGAAAAAAGAGTAATATTCCAGAAAAAAATGACCTTTAAATCATTTTTTAAGGATGAGAGAAGGGGAAAGATATGAAAATTAAAAGCAATTAAAACAAGTTCTAACCACAAACATCTATTGAAACAGGAACATCCCAAAATGCAATGACAGATAGAGAATGCTCACCTGTCTGATTCTGGCAGTGAACAGGAGAGAACGAAATATCATCCAGGGCAACATAGCCTCCTTTGGGACCATTGAAAGCAACTTCAAAAATAACCTGCAGAGGAAAATGGCATGCTGTCACATGTTCACATATTTTCAGTTTGGCTTAAGTGCTCTTAATGATTTCAAATGACATGTCAATCAAACCAGATGAAGCCAAGTGACAAGGACTCATGGAATCAGATTTCCAAATATGAGTTTGGGCAGCACCCTCCTCAACCTACAGTCTCTTTTTGGGAGAATGAAACTGCTATGATCTGAGTGTCTGTGGGACACTCACGAATTCTCAAAAGTCATACATTGAAATATGAACCCCCCAAGGGAATGGTAATAGAAGATGTGGCTTTTTGGGAGGTGATTAGGTTTTGGAATGGGATTGGTGCCCTTATTAGTGTGCCCCTTCTGGAATTTGAGGGCACAAGGAGTTGGTGCCATATGGACCAGGAAACAGGCCCTCACCAGACGCCAGATCTGCCAACACTTTGATCTGGAACTTCTCAGACTTCAGAACTGTAAGAAATATATTTCTGTTGTTTATAAATTACCTAGGTTATGGTATTATGTTATAGCAGCCTGAATGGACCAAGACAGAGTCTTTAAAGTTGCCTTTTATTGGTGGATATGCCTCTCTTCCTTGAGTGTCAGCTGAAGTGCATATGTCATTTCTCTTAGAACTACAGAACTAATTAGCATTATGAACTTCAATTAAAGGAAAAATCATCTAAGAAAGCAGGCCAGGGTTTTTTTTGTTTTGTTTTTTGTTTTTTGTTTTTTTACCTCCCTGCCATCACTCAGGGGCAAACACCCTCTGAGTTCCTTTCCTTCTTCCTATATGAACTCTACATCAAGGGCTGGACAAAGATGCAACAGTCAGAGGTGAGAACCCTGATCTCAGCATGTCCAGGTATGTTCCAATGGTTAGAAAGAACATGGACCAATGACTTCAACCCCTTTAGCTTTGCTTTCTTCTCTACCACCAACTTTAACTGTGAGCTTAGTCGACCACCTTCTGCCTGTAACCATGGGGGATCAGACGTCAGCACAGCCTTCACCTGTGCTGGAAAAACCACCCAGGTGTGCAGTCCTCTTGTGTGAGTTAATAACCTGAGAAGACGCAGCACAGAACAGGGCTTGAAACTTCAGTGCCTACAAAAGCCAGGCAGGTAGTGGAAACGCAGAAGTGGGCTGGGTATGGTGCGGCCTCTTGTGAAATAGAGACAGAAACCCCTGTCTAAAAGGGCAGCTGTCACTCAGGTGCATCAATTGCTGTTATGTGGGAAGCCAGACCTGTTATGGGTTGAACTGTGCCCCCCTGCATCCCTCACACACAATTCCTGTGTTGAAGTGCCAACCTCTAGTATCTCAGTATGTGACCTTATTTGGGAATAGGGTCACCACAAATGTAATTAGTTAAGATGAGGTCATGTTGAAGTAGAGTGAGTCTCCAATTTAAACGACTGGTGTCCTTATAAAAAGGAGAAATTTGGATGCACACACACACACACACACACACGGAATGCCATGTGAAATGAAGGCAGAGAGCTACAAGCCAAGGAATGCCAAAGATTGCCAGCACACCACCAGAAATGGGAGAGAAGCATAGGACAGATTCTCTCTCACGGCCCTCAGTAGGAACAAGCCCTGCCAACACCTTGATCATGAACTTCTGGCCTCCAGAATGATGACATACAAAATTTCTGTTTTTTTAAGCCACCTCTTTTGTGCTACTTTGTTATGGGCAGCCCTAGCAAACAAATACGAGGCCTAACGTCTCTGTATCTAGCAAATTATCAAGAGGATCTGACTCTAGATTTTATTTGAAATCTTTGAGTTTGTCAATGCTGACAATTAATTCAAAAATTAAAAATAAAATGAAAAATCCCACTCCACAGCCAGACACATCCATTGTGGACTAGATTTGACCTCTAGGCTTCTAGTTTGCAGCTTCTTCTGAATAGAATGGTTTCCTGGAGGCAGACAGACCAGAGTTCAGATCCCATTTTCATCACTTATTAGCTAGGTAGGCCTGAATATATCACTGTATTAGTCTGTTTTCACGCGGCTGATAAAGACATACCAAGACTGGTTAATTTACACAGGGAAAAGGGTTTAATGGACTTACAGTTCCACGTGACTGGGGAGGCCTCACAATCACGGCAGAAGGCAAAGAGGAGCAAGTCACATCTTATGGGGATGGAAGCAGGCACAGAGAAGAGAAGAGAGCTTGTGCAGGGAAACTCATCCTTATAAAACTAACAGATCTTGCGAGACTTATTCACTATCACTAGAAAGGCATGGGAAAGAACTGCCCCCATGATTCAATTACCTCCCACTGGGTCCCTCCCACAACACGTGGGAATTCAAGATGAGATTTGGGTGGGGACACAGCCAAACCATATCAATCACTTAACCTCCCAGGGTCTCAGTTTTCTTATCTATAAAACACCTATCCTGTAAGACTGTTGAGGAGATTAAATGAGAAAATGTCTACAAATATCCAACCACAGAGTCAGGCACATAACAAGCTCTGAACTAATTTTCTATCTTTTTCCGAAGGTTGGTTGGCCTCAGTGGCTCATGCCTGTAATCCCAGCACTTTGGGAGGCTGAGGTAGGCGGATCACTTAAGCTTAGGAGTTTGAGACCAGCCTGGGCAACATGGTGAAACCTCATCTTTACAAAAAATACAAAAATTAGCTGGGTGTGGTGACACATGCCTGTAGTTCCAACTACTTGGGAGGCTGAGGTGAGAGGATTGCTTGAACCTGGGAGGCAGAGGTTGCAGTGAGCCAAGATCACTCCACTGCACTCCTGCCTGGGTGACAGAGTGAGACCCTGTTTCAAAAATAATAATTTTTTTTTTTTTTTCTGCAGGTTGACTCCCTCTTGAACTTCTATTCAGGTTCCAGCCTAGTTAGCCACTAATTAGCTTGAGCAGGCCCATTCTTCTCCAGCCCTCAGTTTCTTCATTTTTTGAAAAGAAAAAGAGTTTGGACAAAATAGTTCTTAAAGTACCTTTCACCTTAACAGTAATGGTCCCACAGGGACCCGGTGCCTAAACTCTCCAAAATCCAAGGGGAACCCTAGAAATTTGTCTTTGCCAAGGGGGAAGGGCTGTGAATGAAGGAAAAGATGTGGACTTATGAGAAGGGGCAAATTAAGATTACAAACTTAACACAGGTCCATGACATTTAGCTCTCAAGGCACTAGCTGGTAAAGTGAATGGCAAAATTTACGCAGAGCCGGTGGGGTAAGAATGCTATTCCTGATCAGCGTTTGCTAATCACAGCCTCTGTGCCAATGTGTTCTCTTGTTCAGACAGTCTCCAATGTTTGTTTTCCTTCTCAAAATTCACTTGAGAATGTGATGACATTAAACTCACTGATTTCTTCAGGACAACTTTCTTTTCCTGATGAGTGAGAGCAAATAACACCAGTGAATAGTTCAGATTGGTAGAGCAAAATCACATGTGTTGACCCAAAGGATGTGTATTGAGGTTTAGTCGTGTCCAGAGTTGTAACCTTTCAAGTATTGATTTTTAAAAATTCAGCAAAGTTTGATTTAGACAAACGTTGCCCGAGGAGCTTATGGTTGGATGAAAGGAGTTGGTAAAGAGAACACTGTCAGTGTGTGTGGGGGACTCATCTGACTTTGATAGGAAACTTTTGAAGCAGTACATGCATTTCTTTTCCTCCTCATAACCCAAACTCACAGAAAATTTTCCACTGAGCTGCAAGAACAAATCAAGACCTGGTTGGACTTTGGGATAGGAAATAGCACACATTCTGCAAAAGACACTGTGCTCTCTCTAGAGTGTTTTTTTTGCTGGGGGAGGTAGGGGAGGTAAATAGGAAGGGGATGTGGGGAGAGGCAGGCACGCCATCAGTAGATGAAACACATCAGAAACTAAGACCCAACCCTGTTCTCTGCAGCTCTACATCAGGCTAGCAGATGGCACCACCGAAACCCATCCAGAGGAATAATCTGCTTCTCTGGCACTTTAAAGGGAACTGGAGAAGATATTGCAAGACGCACAAAGTGAAAAGTGAGGGACATTAATAACTTGGGGTAACCGAGACTCTACTTATAGCTCCAAATCTTTATGGCAATATTATAGCAACCATATTGCTGCACCCACTGATTCTGGTGGTGCTATGGGGTCCTCAGACAGAGCTGGGCCTCCTTCCTCAGCTTTGGGTCAGATTTTAGTCCACGAACTTAGTTACTAAGTTCTCTGGCATTCACCAGCTGTGTGACCTAGAAAAAAATGTCCAATTTCTTGGACACTCTGTTTTCTCTCTTCTTGTCTGTAAATACGGAGATAATTTTATCTACTTGGCCGGATAGTCAGTACTGAAAGTGCTCGTAGCTTCTGAAATACATACATAGATACAGACATGTATCAATGTATGTGCTTAGAAAAAGGTCGAAAAGATAGTAAACCTTTAATGTTAGTAGTCCTCCCCTTTGTGAAGTTGGCTGAGGGCATTTTAATTCATTTCATGTCTCTGAATTTTCTAATTCTTCTGCATTGAACGTATCACTTATATAACCGGAAAAAGTTTTAAAATGAAGGCATCAAGCCTTATTTCAAACTAGGGCCATAATAGCAAATTTTTTTCTGATTTTACAACATTATTTATGTTGCAAAAAAAGAAATGAGTCACCTTTTTTTTTTTTTTTTTTTTTCAGAAAAAGTTTTAAAATGAAGGCATCAAGCCTTATTTCAAACTAGGGCCATAATAGCAAATTTTTTTCTGATTTTACAACATTATTTATGTTGCAAAAAAAGAAATGAGTCACCTTTTTTTTTTTTTTTTTTTTTCAGAAAAACAGTTCACTCAAGTAAGGAAAACCTTCAAAACTGCTCTCAGGAAAGGTAACTCCAGACTGAGTTTTACTTGGAGGGTTCTGATCTCCTCGTTTGAACCCTCTGTGACCACAGTGCAAGCTTCAGAAGGAGAGGGTCGCCAAGAAGTCCAGTTGGTTGACTGGCTTTTGCCATATTTTTTCTCATAAAAATGACTCTTGCTAGGAAATGAAGGTAATAAAGGAGGCAGGCAAAGGGGACACAGAGGAAGGGAGAGCAGGAGAGGGGCTGAGGATGAGAAAGAGCATGCTTCAGGCACAGCAGAAAAGACAGACTGAGTGTGAGACTGCACAGCCTCTCCATCTCCAGCTGTGTGTGTGGGTGGCACATCTGCAGACGCCCATCCTGGCACAGCTGGTGCACACCAGTACACCTACCTCCATGGGGTAAGGAGCATTGAACTCGACCTCTGCAAGATTCCAGGCAGCATTCCCTGGCCTATCTGCTTTCCAGATTTCCTCGTAAAGGCCAGCCACATCCCGAGTGTAAAGGGAAAAGACATTGTCATTTCCCTGCTGGATCTGGTAATAAAATGACAGGCAGCCAGCCATGGGGGCCGTGGTCAACGGGGAGATGAGCTGTGCCACCTCCTGGAAGTGCTTCACATAAACCGAGTCCACGTACATGTAGTGGCCTGAAAATCAGAGAGACAGAGCACAGCGTAAGAGTTGGGGGTAGGGAAGGGAAGAGGTTCAGGTGAAATGGTGTGATTCTGCATTCAAAATAATCCAGCAGGAATGGTGAGGAGGAAGTGGATGAGTTACAGCTGACGGAGGTTTGGCCATGAGTGGATGGAGAAATGTTGCAGCTGAGAGAAGGGTCCATGGGGTTCATTGCACTCTGCTAAATACAGGATGAGACCATTCCTTTTACTTTCCTTACTTTTGATTCAAGTAAAATATACATAGAGAAAAGTAGATGTGTCGTCTGTCGAGTGCTTAAATTTTCACAAGCTGAACACACCCATGGAAAGAAATAGAACATTACCCTAGAAGCCACTCCCTCACAGTCCTTATTTGAGTTATAAGACTCTGAAGAGGACATAAAGCTTACCATCTATTCTTAAAAGGGCATGGAGAGACCCTCCTGCACATGTTTACAATTAATGCAAGATGTTACCATGTGTATTTTGAGTGAAACTAAGATTTTGAATTCCAACTATATGGCAATGTGTGTATTGTTAATAGCATGCAAGTCAATCGACACTGAAATTTGGAGGAGTGAATATGTGGTATCACTCTTGGCAGGTCTTTGTGGGCTCTGGACCCAGGGGCTGGCCTCCATTAGGGGCATCTTGGTGAAACACAGAAGCCATATGACAGAATGGAGACAGCCTTGATTTAGCATTGAAGAGAACTGAGGTTGAATCCTGCTCCACTTCTTACTAGCCCTGTGACCTTGAACAAGTTTCTGAGTATGTCTGGGTCTCAATTTCCAGATCTCTAGAATGACAATCAAATACTTTCCTCATAGAGGCAATGAATATTACATGGAGTCATGTATGTAAAGTGCTTAGCGTGTGTCTGGTACATTGTAGCTGCCTAACAATTATAATGCCATTCACAATTCTAGAACCATGCTTGCCCTATAGCCTGTTTTGTATAAAGGGTAAGCTATCATTGTTAGCAATTTTGCATGAATTTATTTGAGTGGTGACAGAGAAGTGCTATGCAATGCAGCTTCAACAGAATGCCATTTCTATTTACAAGCTCAGAACAATTACAGCTTAATATCTTCATTTCCATGACATAATCTCTGGTTAATAAGAATTCCTGGCCAGGTGCAGTGACTCATGCCTTAATCCCAACACTTTGGGAGGCTGAGACGGGAGCATTGCTTGAGGTCAGGAACTTGAGACCAGCCTGGGGAACATAGTGAGACCCCTGTCTCTACAGAAAAAAACTTTCTTAAAATTAGCTGGGCAAGGTAGCATGCACCTCTGGTCTTAGCTATTAGGGAGGCTGAATCAGGAGAATCACTTGAGCCCATGAGTTTAAGGTTGCAGTAAGCTGTGATCACGCCACTGTCCTCTAGCCTGGGTGATAAGTGAGACCCTGTCTCCAAAAAATGAAATAAAATAAGGAAAGAATGCCTTTTCTCCATTATGAAGAGCAGAAAAAAATATTAGAAGGAGCATATGCATTTATACACTGGATGTTTACTTTGTATCTAGCACATAGCCCGGTATGTGGTGGGCCCTCAACAAATAGTTATTTAATGTACAGACATGGTCTCAGAAAGGTCCTCATCTCAACATGGCAGAGGGGAAAAATGGACAGGTCAAAGCTGACTTTCTCCTGATGGCAAGTTGTTCAACACCCTGAATCCCCTGAATAATCTTATTTGAATATAATTTACCTTATCGTCTTGCCAAACCACACAACAGTGAATAAACAGAGATTACGAACTCAAATTCTCAGAGGAGGCAGCCAGATTAAGTGTATGAATGAAGTTGATTGAGTCAGGGAGAAAATAGAGAGTGGTAAATTAGTAGCTAGCATTTGAAATCTTACTTTTCCCCACATTGAGAAACAGAAACCAAGCTTGTCTGGAAAAATAAAAACATCTGATAGTGCTGGGCCCATATTCTTATGCGGCAATAACCGGCTTGGGGTGAGAAGCCTGGCCCTCACCCCCGTGTTCTCCAGCCTCCCTGAGAGAGCAGGGCCTACCCAGTGGATGCCCGGCATCCAGCCCCGTGCTGCAGGCTTTCCCCATCCTAGTCTGGAATTCAGGTTTTCATGGCAAATCTATCCATTTTTAAGGGATGCTTCCTGTGTGGTTTGCTAGGGCAGCTGTCACAAAATACTGCAGAATGGAAGGCTTCAGCAACACACATGTATTGCCTCACAGTTCTGGAGTCCAGAAGTCAAGGATCAAGGTGTCAGCAGAGGTTGTTCCTTCTCAGGGCCGTGAGGGAAGGATTGGTCCTGGGCCTCTCTCCAAGCTTCTGGTGGTGTGCTGGCAATCTTTGGCATTCCTTGGCTTGAAGGTCTCTGCCTTTATCTTTACATGGCATTCTCCCCGTGTACATCTCTCTCTGTGCCCAAAGTTCCCCTTTTAATGAGGACAGCGGTCATATTGGATTGGAGGCCCACCCTACTCCAGCATGACCTCATCTTGACTAATGACATCTGCACCCATCTGTGTCCAAGCAAGGTCACATTCTAAGTCCTGGGGGTTAGGACTTCAACATATGAATTTTGAGTGTGCACAATTCAACACCTAACACTCCCTACCATATTTTTTTAAACTTTGTATGTGCCAAATAAACATACCTACAGGCTAGAAACGACTGTAGGCTCCACTTTGCCACCTCTGGGGAGGAATTTTAAAGGAAGAATCAGAATGTCAGACTGAATAGAATCAAAGAACCTCTGATATGGAGGCAAGGTCACTCCTCCATATCCCAAGCTTGAAAACCCTCTAAAGCACTCCTGGTGGCCAGCCAGCCTTGACGAGAACATTCTAGTGGTGGAGAATGCCTATGACCAGTTAGCCTCTGTAATCTGCTTCTGTTCTGTAAGCACTCACGTGAGTAACAAAGGCAGAGATGAAATCTTCATTGCCCTTTGTAACATGACTTACCAATGAAACAGAATCTTTTTGTGAGATATAAGCTGGGAGAATTGAGTGGAGGAGAGCTATAATTCTTTGTATTATCATGTACATACATTATAATACTTTGTGTCCTGGATACCTAATTGCAGGGGCCACAGAGATCCTCTTTAAGAGAACTTGCTGAAGAAACCATCATTGACTGGGTCTCCAGCCACCTCACCTTTGGACCTGCAGGAGAGTGTACCAAGACCACACCACTCTGGGCTGCTCCCAGCTCCCTGCTCCAGAGTGACCAAGCACAGCAGAGGGGCAGGCCATTCTGTCTGCCATGGGGCCCTTCAGCAGCTCCCGTTGGCCCAGGTTCTGCTCTTCCTCAGGGGTCAGGTTTGCATCCTGAGCTGAAAGTTTTCCCTACCCAGGGCATCTTTATGACTTTTGTGGGCCCCAGGCCCTTTTGCTGTGGTGGGCCCATTCCTCCATTTAAAAAAAAAAAAACAACCCTTAACATTTTGGTTTACTACTGCATTGGCATAAAGAGGTATATGATGTAGGCTTGAAATTATTATATTCATTTTACCCTTCCAGTTTTAAAATAAAATTAAAATATTGTCATGGACCCCAAAAATGCCATGGCTCCTAGGCACTATGGCTGCTGTGCCCAATAAGGACATTGGGCCTGTCCCCAGCTAGTCTGGCTCCTTCCTCCTCAGAGCCTTCACAGCCATCTCTCCCAGGAAATCTCTTTCCCACCTAGTCCCAGCTTACTGTCTGCTTCCACAGCCAGCCTTGTTGTAAATTCACCTTCCTTGCAGATGACAGACATCTGAGAGTTGTCTTTAAGGATAGTAACTCACCTGCTCTGTGGACAATATTTTGTGCATTTGCAGTCAAAGTGCCTCACTAACAACTTGTGCTCAGGACGCTAGTCCAAGTGAACCACAGTCACATTTCTGATCCAAAAATCATCCAGCAAACACAACATGATCTGCCCAAAGTGAGTCAGAGAGGCTGCTGGGAACAAGACCAAGACTGCTGACTCCAAGTCTCATTCGGAACCACCAGACTAGACCACATGCCCTTGCCCCCTTTTTCTTTCCATCATTCATTTTTTGCCAAAGATGGGTTCTATTTACTGACAATTTGAGCAATGTTAAGCTTCTCATTAGGGAACAAAAGGTAACTCATCATGAGTTTATTATCTCAGTTGAACTGGTAGGGGTGATTCAGAAATTGTCATTCAGGTGTCTGCCCCAGGAGAAGAGGCTGGAGGAATGACAGCCAAACCAGGCGGAGTGTGTTATCAGATACAATCTGTTCTGAGGAAGAGGAGTCAATGGGTAGGTGGCTGCAAGTGCCATAGTATTCTCCTTTCTAAAAACAATGAAGGTAGCCTGGAGTTCTTGGGAAATTTTGTCCAGTGCCTGATATTAGGAGAATTTTCCTGCCTAGTTCAATGAGCGCAACACTCCTATCTGGCATAGGGTTCTGGAGCTTCCAGAACCTCTGGAAAAGGCCTTTTTTTTTTTTTCATCAGATCTTTAAGATTCGAGTAGGATGAAACTAGGTATAGATGGACTTTAAGTAGACAGAATCCTTTAATCTGCCAAATCACTGGAGACCCTGCAGGCCACAGAGATTTTTAAAGTATTAAAACTTGAACTGAAAATGAAAGAGGTTATATGGGGGGAATGGGTTCCCCCATAAGATTAAGAATTGAGAAGCTTATTGCCACTCCTCTACAGTATGTGCTGCTTTGCCATACACAGAGTGAAAATCAATCTATTATTACCTAATTCTGGATTATACACAAAAAGCCCGAGGTTTCTAGGCAAAAAACATTTCAAATTCAGCTGAAACAAAGATCACAATTCTCAGTCATGCCGCCAGTGCTCAGGCCTCTTCTGGGATGGAGCCTGCGGTGCTGGTGTATGCACACTTGCTCCTGAAGAGGCTGTCCATTCCTTTCTTGCAGCAGCCTTCTGTATTAGCTGAACTTTTCATGTGGAACCAGTGGCCCCTGGTAGTCAGCCATTTCCCCTTGTATTAGGGAAAGAACTTTAAAGGCGGTTTCTGAATGTTTATTTTCAAGCAGTCTGGCTCACCAGCATTCCCCCAAGACTGCCCTTGGCTTGGCCGTGGTGCCAGAGGCATTCTCTGACTCAGCTGTGATGCGGTCCTGTTGGCCACATTTGCACTCCAATTGTGTTGTCTGCTCCAGTGTTGCTGGTTGTCTGGACAAGCTGTCTCCCCAGTAGGGCAGACAACCTGGTCTGAAGAGATGTATGCCAGAGGGAAATACCCCTGGTCTGCTGCCATGGTGAGTAGATGGCACCCAAAGAGAATGAGTTACGATGCGTGTTTTTCCACCCAATAAGTCTGACAGTATCTTCACGAGCCTTTAGTTGTAAGGGTTTTGGTGGCCCTTACCATCATAAAGTCAGACTCTAGTCTTTTTATACAGCTTTCAAGGATGATGTAAACATGAATGAATATTACGTGAGACTTCTCGTATCTGTGCTGAGACCTCAAAGCCCCAAACAATAAGTGACGACAACCTCTATTTTCTAAAGAGAGGTGCTAGACCGTCAATATGCTAAGTGGCAACCCCTGGCACCTACCCCGGCTCTACCAGTGTTAGCCCGTCTCTCCCCTCTAGCCTGTGCATATGAGAAGGCTCGAGATGAATCAGAGAGATTGGAGATGGGGTTTCTATAAAGAGCGTTGTCACAGAACCGCCCTGCTATGTGTTTCCTTTTGACCTCTCCAGGGAAGGCAAGGGGATTGCTTCCCCTTTCTTACCTTGTCTAAAGGAGAGGCCTTAAGGGAACCACTCATGGAAGAGGTAGAGGAAGGAAACTGCCATCTAACCTCATCCCCTCCCCTATGTGCAGAAATTTCTGAGCTCTGCAATTGCTCTGAACCTTGAGATGAAGGGGGTCAGAGTTCTTAAGAAAGCTTGACCAGTGATACTGGAGTGTGGTGTGATGCAGAGATGGAGCCTGGCACTGGTGCATACCTCTAAAGGCAAGAAGCTGACCCTAGGGACCTGTGGGGGAAGAGTAGAGAAAAAGGAGTTTGCTGCCAGTGAACTGCACTTCCAGAGTTTGAGGGGGCAATTTAGAAGGCAGCTGGGCTACACTACCTTAAAAGAACTCTTCTCAAGAGAACTGCCTGCCAGTGCGGTAATTCCATTAGAAGGGAGCTGGTGGGGCATACCATGACTTATAGGAGCTAAGAAGGATTCATAGATGGTCAGCCAGAGAGTTGCTCATCCCTGTCTGGCAACACTAAAGTGGGATCCCCCATTGGCCATGACAGGAATGCCAGAATTTGGCCATGTGCTGTATGAAGGGCATCACCTCTAGATTAAATAGCAACAGTCAAGTGAAACTTTTGTCCCTGGCCTTTGCCTTTCTGTTCCATCCCCACCCCGCCTATTGCCTCCCAACCCTGAAGCAGCCAGAAGCCAGTAAGAGGGAGAAGAGGTAGGGAAGAAAAAGGTGAAGTATGAAGAGACAAAGCACAAACCTTTCTCTCTACAGCTGTTGTGTGGCCCAGTCTGTGGGAAGATCTAAAGTAAATGAGACATTGCAGTTGTGACTTGACTGAACCTAATCCTTGAAAGTGAAGATGTTTATTAATACCTGAAAGTAACTGGAAAGCCATAGCAAGTCATCCAAGGGTAGAGAAAGGAAATTCAGCAGACCTTGCACAAAGAAAATGGTAAGTAAATTAAGAAAGCTGCTTCCCTACCGCGTGCTTCCACCATGCACCAAATGGATCAATGCAGAGAGTAAATAAATAGGTCCTGTTAAGACGACCCTTGCTCATTCCAAACTGAAATGAGTAGAGTGTCATGATCATGGAGAGATGATCCATCCATCTCGTGATGTTTGATGGAATAAAATAACTCTAACCTTATTTTAGGTTTTGAAACCTTGTCCAGCTTCTTCCAGAGCAACACAACAAGCAAGCTTGGTTTTTTAAATCTCAGCAAAGAGATGCATTTCCCTCATTATTTTTCCGGCAATCACCTATTTTTTTCTTTTTTTCTTTTTTTCCGCTAAGGTAGGTAGAAAACAGTAATGATCTGAGCTGTCAGTAGGTTACCTCCTGAAAGATTTTGTTTCACTTCATGAAATATGAATAAAGAAAGAAACCCATATGTGATGAGTCAGAATTAAGAAAACACAGTATAAAAATCACATCCCCTCCAGTATTCCAAAGATGTCCCACCACAATTCTTACTGCATTATTTTAGTCATTTCTATCATTAGACAATAATTTGGGGGCACGATGCTCATTTAAAAACCTTGACTCAATGTTTGGGGCAGATTGTTTGGAACATACAAGGAAATGAAGGAAAACTCATATCCACACTGTAGTTTTCAGAAATTACATTCACTGTTTGCTTTTCTACAACCCAAAGACTAGCACTCTCCTGGGAAGACTTCCCTCAACCCTCTCTGCAGTTCTGAAATTCCTAAGTAGACAAAGAGCTCCCCTTCTACATGCTGTTTCTCCAGTTTTTACCTGACAGCAAAGGCAAAAGCTGCATCCAGTATATGAACGAATATGAGATGAACTCACATAGAGCAAAATCTGCTGTTGCAGGCAGACATCTGAACCATTTAATCTTAACTTTGCCACCCAAATTGATAGAGCTCCAGGGAAATCAGTATACCCAGTAGAAAGCAAATATAAGAGAGGCAACCTCTTTCCTTTTTAGAGCATTGGAGGGTTTGTTTTGCTTTGTTTTAAAGAATGATACTGACCAAATCTTTGAGTCCTATGGGCAGAGCTTTTCAAATAAAGTATTTTAGAATCTTTTGAACTCATCATTTTTAGCCCCATCCTCTATAGGGGAAAGACTTACAGAGTACTCCAGGCTTAGAGGAGTGTGTGTGTGTATGTGTGTTGAGTGGGGATGTTGGCTAATGAATGGCCAAAATATTAGTCCAAAGGTTGAAGAGGACTTGGAGTGAAATAACAGGAAAGATTGGAATGCAGGCAATCAGGCTTCCTGCTAATCATAAGTAGGAATGTAGCCTGCGACCTAGGGGTTCCTCTGCCATCATCACATACCTTGTGCTTCTCAAATGCTGTCCAATCATAAAATAAACCATCCACTCTCATGCCTCTACACTTTTGCACATGCTGCGTTTGTCTCCCCCTTATCCATTTCTTCAAATTCCCGTTCTGCTATTCCTTCCTCAAGAGAGCCTTCTCTGTACCCCAAAACCAAGGTAGTCTTTTGTCTGTGGTTTCATATCATTTATTTCATACCTCTATTAGTCATGCATTACTGTGCATGCTTGCAAGTTTATGTAGCATTTTGGTATTCAGATAATTTGAGAAATGCCATAATGTACATGAGCACAGAACTATATTAAAGGTGGTGAGAAATCCTGAAATAAAGAAATCTGTTTAGCTTTCTTTAATGCAGGGTTTCCCCAGTTTATTTGACCACATATCACCCTTGTGCTCCATATAAGGATTAGGGAAGGACATTTTGGGAAAAGTTGGTTCCTATAAACTCTTTGAGGTTAATGATTTTTTTCTTTTTTTTAAGCATCTTTTTTTTTTTTTAAACTATACTTTGAGTTCTGGGATACATGTGTCAAATGTGCAGGTTTGTTACATAGGTATACATGCGCCATGGTGGTTTGCTGTACCCATCAACCCGTCATCTACATTAGGTATTTCTCCTAATGCTATCTCCACCCTGCCAACAGGCCCCAGTGTGTGATGTTCCCCACCCTGTGTCCATGTGTTCTCATTGTTCAGCTTCTGCTTATGAGGGAGAACATGCGGCGTTTGGTTTTCTGTTCCTGTGTTAGTTTGCTGAGAATGATGGTTTCCAGCTTCATCCATGTCCCTGCAAAGGACATGAACTCATCCTTTTTTATAACTGCATAGTATTCTGTGGTGTATATGTGCCACATTTTCTTTATCCAGAATGACTGTTTTTTTACATCACCAGGGTATGCAAGAATGTAAATATAAATACATGTAAAAAGTGCTTATTATGTGTTTGTTGAATGAGTGAAGGAATGAATAAGTGATCAATGAAGAAGCGTAATTCTGGTGTTGAGGCTCTGACTGGATAATCCCATGGATTGCTGGAAGGTAGGTAGAAGATCTTTTTAGACTTCCTCCCTTCAACCCTCGGGTCAGCTTCTTTTTCAGCCCACAGTATTGACATATGGGTACCAAGCAATGCTAGTGGGAAAAGCTGCCTGCCTTGGGGAAGTATTCTAGAATAGCCAAGGAAGAAGAGGAAGAATGGGAAAATGGAGAGAAGGAGATGGGAGGGAAAAAGGGAGTGGGAGAGGAGAGAGGCAAGTGCTTATGTCAGGGGTGGCAGCACCCTACCAGCAAGTCTTAGTGCTTCTCAAGGATGACCACACCACTATGCCTACGTCTTGACCCTTCTGGTCAAGATATTAGAAAATCCAGGGCCTCTTTTTCTCAACCCTTTGTTCCTTTAGTTCTCCTTTTCTTCTAGTGCCAAATGCTGTGTGCTTATAAGTATCCAGGAGGGACTCAAGCCATTTTGAAATAGATCTCACTGAATGGTGAATTTGGAGATTTTGGTAAATAGCATTAGGCAATGAGAGAAAAGTAAAATATTGGAACTCAAAGCCATCTTTGAATCGTTGAATTCAAATTGCTCATTTGCAGATGTGTCAATGGAGACCCTAAGAAGTTGAGGGCTTAGTCAAGGTAATAAAGTACTCTGATAACTGAGCCTGGAGCACAAGTATTTGGACTCCTAGCCTGGGGCTCTTTCTCTATCCCTGGGGACACAAATATAGTCAGAATATTCTATGATTGCAGATGGGCGTGAAAAAGGACTAGGAGAATTACACTCTTCAAAGGATGAATTGCACTCAGATAACATAGTCAAATAGATGATTTGACACTAGTCCATTGGTCTGTTGCCTCTTCCAAGAAATATATGTTCTCCCCAGCCAGCTGCCTCTTGCCATCATTGAGGATGAAAAATGAAACACTGAATAATCACTGAATCATAATATTGGTTACCCACAGGGTTTGACTCTGGAACTAATTTTTAAATGATTTGGGAAAAGTTCTCTAACACTTCCCCATTGTTAAATTTGCATCTCTGTGCAGCTGTGATAATGACAGGAGACATAATTGCCATTTTGATGCATCAGCCTTTCAAGATCCTTTCTGTTCCTTGTATTAGATTCTTAAGATAGGACAGAAAAACAATCTCAAAACTAGCCTATTGTCACACATGAAGAAAAAGTCATCGGGCTTTTCTTTCTTCAAACCCCAAGAGATTGTTAGTTGCTTTACTCATTTACATAAAGCTCTCAAGAGTTGGTGACATTTTATTATTTTGAGTTAACCCAACTGTCTTTTAAAATACTCATGCAGATTCATGGATTACTTTGCCATGACTGGTTATCATTCACTGTACACAGAGCACTCGTTTATAGTGTGGTTCCTACAAAGGGCCCCAAATGAGGATAGGCCACTTATTTATAAGGTAAAAATATGGACTATCCATAGAAAAAATTCAATCTCTTGTTACTGTCAAAAGTGCTAAACAGCACTTTGGGAGGCTGAGGCAGGCAGATCACCTAAGGTCAGGAGTTTGAGACCAGCCTGGCCCACATGGGGAAACCCTGTCCTTACTAAAAATACAAAAATTAACTGGATGAAGTGGTAGGTGTCTGTAATCCCAGCTACTTGGGAGGCTGAGGCAGGGAGAATTGCTTGAACCTGGGAGGTGGAGGTCTCAGTGAGCTGAGATCACACCATTGCACTTCAGCCTGGGCAACAGAGCAAGACTCCATCTCAAAAAAAAAAAAAAGAAAAGAAAAGAAAAAGGCTGAACCTAGGTTTTAAAGGTAGGAAGTACATAAACATGCTTTTTTTGTCTTATCTCAATTTCTTATGTAAGTGACCCCAGATGCATCTGAAGAAACAGTTTCTGGGGGATTCTTCTGTACTCTTGCTCCACCTTTTTACTGTCCATCTACTGAAATAATCCCTGTCATGTTAATCCATCTAAAAACACTGCTGTGATGGTGTCTCTCCCCTGCCCAAACACCTGTGTGGCCTCCCATTGTCAATGAAATAAAGTTAAAATCTCTTACCTGGCATTCCAGGCATTTTCGAATTTGTCCCTGTACTGCTTTCTCAGCCACATCTCTTCCCCCATCCACCCCTCGTAGCTACCACCACTGTATCATTGCTCTTAGCTTTTTCTCATCTTTGTCAAAATCATACCAATCCCCGAAATACGGTTTACTTCTTTTATCATGTCTTCTAGGACATCCAAGTAGTGAGAGGCCTCTTTTGTCTCTGAATTCCCAACACCTTTCTTTTTTGGTGGGGGAAGGAGACCACTCTTACTGCACTTGACACATACCGCCCTTTGTTAACATCCAGTTGTGATAAAAATCTCTTTTCCTTTCTTGAAAGAACCTTCCTTGAAGCTGGGAAGGGGCCATAGAGGATCTGTCATTTTAATTGTCATTTTCCCCATTATATCTAATGCTAGGTCAAATTAATGACAATGCTAGATTTAAAGTTGCATTTGTTTTAAACAGGCAAGCTCCATGAGACTCCAATCTTTTTATTTGTGGTTACTTATAAGTAACTTATTCTAAGAAGCCTGAACATGTTGTAAAAGAAAAGAAACTTGTCAAATGAAGGTTGCAGAAAAGTTGGCCAACAGGACCTGACCTGCAAATGTGTTTTATTGGCCCACACTGTGATTTTAGAAAACATTCACCAACTTTTAAACATTTGGGAAATTTCACACACAAAAACATCCCCTGCCTTCCTGATGATCTTGAAACATCAAAAGATCTAGCAACCCGGGCTTGCATTCTCACACAGCAGCAACTCATTAGAGCCGAGTAGCCTTTGCACAGGGTCTCTGCTGTCTAGTTTGCCGCAGTCCTCACCCAGCCCACATGTCATTTGCTTATACTGTCTGCCTGGCTGTTACAGGAGACTGAACCTGAGATTCGGGATATAAAGGAGAGGATAGAATAGGAGCAAAGAGAACAATAAGATTAGGATGAAGACGGTCTAGAGTCAAGATAAGCTGAAGGATGAGCACTTTTGAAAAAAAGAGTTGGAGACATGATTAAAAATATTCAGATGACGAGAAGCAATAGTGAATGAAGAAAAATGGAAAGAACCATAAAAGGTCATCAATATCTCTGTGTAAAGGATCAAAAGAGAAAAAGTTAACTGTTTGCAGCAGAATAAAAATTCCTGTCTTGTTCTTGTTGAAAAGCCAGCCGCCAGAAGCTTCTTACTCCTTGGAGACCTTGGAGTCGAGGATGAAATGTCTTGCAACTGTGGAGAGACCTAGGCTTTTCCAAAGCCTACCAGGGTCCAGGTGAGAGCAGTGGTAACCCACAAGTAAGTAAGCCCTTGCCCTTGTCTCTCTTCTGTGGAGGACTTCTTCTCAAAGCTGACTTCTTGCTGATAACACAACCTCACCTCGCATTTTCCTTGCAGAGAAGCAGCCTTCTTTGCCACTAGGGGGGCCTGTTGCACACCACATTCAGAGCTAATCAGCAGTACTGGCTCACCTCACTGTCACTTGGGAAGTTCCTAGGACCCATTGCCATCCTTTGATCTATTTTCAGTGAAAAGTAACCTAGGATTATTCCAGCCTTGTCTTTAGAAATGAGAAATATTAAACAACAAACACACAAGAAAGTAAAGCATAATATGGAAATGTGAAAATACAAGACTAGGCCACAGGTGAAGGAAAATCTTTACGGGGTGGCCTTCCCCGTAGCTACAGAGCTCACAGGTGCAGTTTGTCTCTACCTCCCTGTAGATCCTTCCCTACTCTTTTGCCACACCTCCTGGTTCCTACTTAGTTCCTACTAACCCTCCTCCCTCCTCTCTTCCCTATTGACAGAAGCCATAGCTAGGTCAGTGCAGGAAGTGGGAGGAGACAGCAGAAAAATTTATCCTGGGAAATGGACTCCATTTGACCGCAGCTCACCCAGTTCACTCTTGAAGGTGTGATCCTGTGGGAGAATGGAATGGACATTCCGAATACTTCCTCCTCCAACAAACCAGTTCACGTTGGGATTCCAGCGGTTCACAAAGCCACAGAGATGATTTTCTTCAAAGTCACATTCTGGGGAAGGGAAACAAAAACACTGCATGGACACACAGTCACACCTGGGTACACCCATCCTACTACAGAGTTTGCTCTTAGATATTCAGAAGTTTCTCTCTTCCTTTGCCCACTGTGACCTTTCTACCAGGACCCCCGCACAATATTGGTCAAGAAGAGAGACAGATCCTGTAATAAATCAAGATTCTAATTCATCATTGGCCCTTTGGATTATGGCCCTTCCACTTATTAGCCATGTCACTTGGAGCATGACTTATCACTTTTTGTAGCCTCTGTGTCTCCATATGTGAAATGGGGACAATGTTCCTACTTCACAGAGCTATTGTAAGTGTGGAGAGCTCCCAGCGCAGTGCCAGGCATGTGGTCAGTGCTTGGTACAAGTCAGCTGTTTTTATCAGTCACCTCTGTCTCAAAGCACTGTTCAGCGTTATGCTCTTAGCTCTAGAAAATTTTTTCCACAACCCTTTCTTGAATCTGGTAGCCCAGTCCTCCTTTCCTTTCTCTTCTCATGATGAACAAGTTGCCCAGAGCTGAGGGGCATGTGTCCGAGATGCTAAAATTCCGTTTATCTTATAAATGAGAACCCAGGCAAAATAGGTGGGACATATCTATCCTAGGTTCTGGGTTCCTTTTGCAGCTACTGAGTGGAGAAGAGAGAGAGGATAATCAGACCCTCCTCTTCTCCCCTTAGTGTCATTGGCATGTTTGCGTGGATATATTGATCTTCATCAACAACTTTTCCTTAAAAAGGAGCAAGAAACTCACAAGCTAATGCCTCCACTGACCCTTATAATCATGCAATTAAACTAGGAAGTATAATTGTGCTGGCCATTGGCCCCCTGCAGATCAATTTTGCTCTTCTCCACCTGATAGGTCCTGCAGAGGTTGACCTATCTGAACTGTATCAATGGGCTCCCCTGCCTTCCATCTCCCTGTTGGATTCGACCAATGGAAGGTGGAAGGAGAGTGAAATCAGGGGTTTAATTGCGCAGCAGTCTCCCAGCCAGGTCGCCATGGGTTGGCAAATCTTGTCAAGCAGTCCTCACCAAATAGCTATTGTTTACAGGTACTGGAAACTCCTCCTCCCTTGTCCTTTCAGGCCAAAAGAAGACAACAGCTCATGAATTATCACTGTTACTAGTCCTGGGTCACAGAGCTGTCCCTTGCTGGCTTCCTTTACGACTCACAGTTTGTGATCTCTTCAGTGAGCTTCCCTCAAATTACTCAGGTTGAGTGTATCCTGTTTCCTCCTTCCTGCCAGGATCTTGACTGGTATAGTCAGCAATGTGTTTTTACATTAGCAAGCACTGAAAATTTCTAAGATTTTCATTTTCAATGTTTCCACCACAGTGTCTGCTAACCAATGCCCTAACATTCAGTGCCAAAGGCTGCCTAAGAGTAAAATAAAAAGCAAAATATTCCTCAATGTGCCAGGCTTCATTCTCAGCACTTTACATAAATTAACTTATTCAATCCTCAAAGCAGTCCCATGACATAGGCACTGTTACTAACCTCATTTTACAGATGAGGAATGGAAAGAGACAGAGAAAGTACCCAGAAAGAAAGAAGTGAGAGCATGATCATAGAGTTTAACGAGTTAAAAGTGTTGGCATCCTTTTGTTTCAAACAAATCAGAAGTCACCACATCATTTGAAGAAAGGCAACATGTCTTGGATGCCCAGCACTGTATATACCAATCATCTTCATAGCCACGATCTCATTCCTCCTCCCAAGAATCCTAGGAGGGAAGCATTTTATTCCCATTTTACAGATGACAAAGCAGAGGCTGAGGCTCAGTAAGCTGACTGGGCCAGCAGGTGGCGCTCCACCAGGGGTGTCTAACTTCTCTGTCGCTTGCAACCTTTTACAGATGCCAGGTGGGAGCCCAGAGGGAGGCTCAAGGAAGGGAGCCTGAGCCTCACTGTATCTTCAGAAAATGGTATATTTTCTTTCACTTGCCCTAGAGACATCATTGAGATCAAAACAGAGAAGTGAAACTTCAGGGGATTAGCAAAGGCTTTTTTGTTGTTGTTGTTGTTCAGAACCTTCTTTGACTGTCCTTTCTCTTCCCCGCCACATTCATTTAGCCTTCAAGAGCTGTCAGTGCTGAAAAATCTCTCAATTCTACTGCCTTTTTCCGATTCCACTGCTAATTCAGTATTGCCCTCATTAAGTCCCCTCTGTAAGGTCACAGCTGCTTCCTAGGGGTTTTCCCACCTGCTGTGTATTTTCCTTGTACCCAACTCATCTTCCACGTGACAGCTGGAGTCATCTGAAAGTGCAGCTGCACACTTCTCCCCTGCTGGCTGACCCATATGATTCAGCAGGTCCAAGCTCCACATCCTGCATCCACACTTTTCCATCACAAACTCCCTTAGCAGTCTTGGTCTTCACTTCAAACACCTTACTCAGCCTCTTCCCTTTGCCTGAACCTGCTCTGTTCTTTCTCCCCACAGAAGTCTGGCCACAGAGAACCCTTGCCTTCCTACCCTGCACTTCCACTTAACTAAATTCTTCTCCTTCTTGAAACTCCAGCTCCAATGCATTGTCCCTATTCAGTCCTCTCCAATTTCTTCTCCCCCTCCCTGCGCCCCCACTGCATAGCTTGTCCTTCCTCAGCAGTAGTTATCATATACAGAACTAGCTTCAGTGTAGACAAATAGAGACTGAACCACCATAGGACGGGGTTTACCCTTTCTTTATGCCCTCTTGGAAGCTGGCACATAAGAGACAGCCAACCAACTCTTCTCAAGTGAATTCTAAGTGACAACTGTGATTATTAAGAGGAGGGCAGTGGTATGCCAAGAGAGAGATGAGGGAAAGAAGATAATACAATGTCTGCTTTTCTGGCACATGCTACAAAAAGCTGAGTTTCCAGCAATTTGTAAATTATTTTAATCAGAACATGTCAAGGTTAAGGTGGCAGTTCTTAAGTTACAGTTGCTGCATCTATGTTTCTTTCATTAATCCAGACAGTACAGGCAAATTCTAATGAGCCTTCCCACACTAAAGACAAAACAACATACAGTATTCAAATGAACCTAGCAAAGAATTTAAACCAGTATGCATTATGCAGTGCATTCTATAAAATACTTGGTCTTTAGGATTGATTCAGTTCCCTCTGGCAACAGTAGCTTTTAGAAAAAGATTCGCAGTTTGATTTAATGAAAATGAAGCCCACTTACCAATACAGTAGCCGGTTGTCATCTTGATTTCAAACAGTGCAATGCTGGCTGTGTTTCCCTGTCCTAGTACACCTTCTATTAAAATCTGCACAACATATGGGGAAGAAGGGGAGTTAGACTTCAAAACATCATGTTTCCTTGGTTCAGTATTTCAGCTATTAGTCTGGAGCTGTTCAGCCATTCAAGGCAAAATAGGATTGTTAGTCTCAGCTAATTGCTATTGGATACCAATTTCACTATGGACTTTACTAAAAGAATGTGTGTGTATGTATATGTGTGCATGCGCATGTGCACATAAACTCATACATCAAAACTTCGAGGTAAGGCATCTGATAGAAGCTCAGAGCCAGCTGTCTTCTCTTCTATTGTTATCCCAACCACCACCATCTTCAGTGCTTGTGGTAGCACTTGTCGTCCTGTTTCTGAAAGTAATCACTTTTTCTCCTGTGGTTTTAGCCCTATATTCTGCAACTATGCTGGCAGATTTAGGAGGTGATAACTGCTGGGAGGATGTTGTAAAAGAGGGAACTCAGAGGCCCCATGCTCCATCCTCAACCACCAGCTGACAGGGAAGGACTCCAGGCAGAAAGAGGGTATTGGAGAGTAAAGTATTTCAAGCTTTTCAAAGAAGAAGCAGGATGGGATAGGAGACGAAAGGGTGGATTAGGAATGGGGAATGTTTTCATGATGGCTCCATTGTGTCCTTGATGAAATATTTTCAATTAAACATCACACTTCATGGCCAGGTTGTGTCTGGATCCATCCTCCTATCCTTATCCAATCCACCCCCACCCAGCATCACCTTATATTCTTCTACTTCCCCTTTTCCCAGGATCCCCCCAAAAGGAGACACCTTCCGCCTTCTTGAAAAGAGAAGTGAACATATCCTTTAAGTATTTTCTCTCTTTCAAATATTTTCATTTTCATTTTATTATAAGTTAAGTGTTTGTTTCAAAAAATTGGTAGCAAAGAAGATGTTAAGATTGATAAACCACATAGCACACACCAGTTAGAAGGATGAAATAAAAAATTAAAGAAATGGAATACTCCCTAAAGCCATAGAAAATCTATTTTTCATTAAAGAGGTTGGTTTAAGCCCATTTAGATTTGTAAACAGAAGGCTTATTTAAATAGATGGGGAAAGAAATCTGGGAAGAAGCCTTTTTAAGGAATAAACCAAAATGTTAAGTTCCATTGCTAATATTCTTCTATGATATGTAATCCTATTGAAACATCACATCAAAGAATCCAGAGATAACCTAACTCCACATCAGAAATTTATTCCATAAGAATTTTAGGAATAATATAAAGGCAAAAGATAAAGAGGCTTCTATATCTTTCTCCTAAACTTCCCACCTACCTGAATTTTCTGGAAAACTGTTTTGCAAAATCCCAAGCTGGCATGAGCCAGCTGTCTGAAGGTTCCTTAGCTGACCAAAGCAATGGCGATCAAGCTTTCATCTTCAAATCTCACTTATAGAGGTTCAGCTGGCTGGGAATCTTTGACAGGAGATTCTGAAGATGTGGTTATCTGGTTTAGACCAAGCGGAGGCAGCTCCATTCTCAGCTGTAAGTCAGAACTTAGCAGCCACAGCTTTC